GACGCTGGGCATCACGGGCCGCCAGGTGGACCTGGTCAAACCCAAGACCGAGTCTGACGACAAGAGAGGTGGGAAACGGTTGCAGAACAAGAACCGAGATCAGTCACCAGAACCTGCCGGGTCTCTGTTCTGGTTCTGAGCTCCGCTGGGTTTGATCATCTCTGGACCAGAACCAGGTTCTGATGAGGTTCTTTGTTTGTCCCAGCAGCGAGGAAACACACCAAGCAGGACTCGGCCATGAACGAGGAGTGGAAGAGCATGTTTGGATCTCAGGACCCGCCGGCCACACAGCCCACCACGGTAACCCCGCCCAGCGCCCCCCCTCTGTGTGGCTGGACCTGTTGGTTCCGGTTCTGTCTTCTCACGATCTTTAAAGCAGACGTTTCCTGCTCTGCCTCAGTCCGCCGACGGCTCCGGTAACCAGGTCAGGAAGTCGACTGCGGCTCCGGCGCCACCGGTGCAGCAGCAAGCGGCGGCCGGTGGCCCCGCCTACCAGCGCCGCATCAACACCTGCAAAGGCGGAGCTGCAGCAGCTGGTGCAGCAGAAGAGGGAGCAGTGCTGCGCCGAGCGCATGGCAAAGCACATGATGGAGAGCGCCGAGTGGGAGAGCCGGCCGCCTCCTCCAGGTGAGGCCTGCACAGCAGGGAGCGCTGCGGGCCGCAGCCAGGGGGCGCTGCGGGCCGCCTGACGCCTGGCTGCAGCCAGGGGGTGCTGCGGGCCGCCTGACGCCTGGCTGCAGCCAGGGGGCGCTGCGGGCCGCCTGACGCCTGGCTGCAGCCAGGGGGCGCTGCGGGCCGCCTGACGCCTGGCTGCAGCCAGGGGGCGCTGTGGGCCGCCTGACGCCTGGCTGCAGCCAGGGGGCGCTGTGGGCCGCCTGACGCCTGGCTGCAGCCAGGGGGCGCTGCGGGCCGCCTGACGCCTGGCTGCAGCCAGGGGGCGCTGCGGGCCGCCTGACGCCTGGCTGCGCTCCGTTTCAGGCTGGCATCCCAAGGGTCTGCTGGTGGCCCACCTGCACGAACACAAAGCAGCCGTTAACAGAATCCGCGTCTCGGACGAACACTCGATCTTCGCCACGGCGTCCAACGACGGCTCAGTCAAAGTCTGGGACAGTCAGAAGATGGAGGGGAAGACCACCACCACCAGGTGGGAATCTCCAGACTCACCGCTGCCTCCTACAGACAGAACATGACCCTACCACTCCCGCGGATTGGTTCTGAATGATCCGGACCTTCTCTCCGTGTTCCACAGGTCCGTGCTGACCTACTCCCGTATCGGGGGTCACGTGAAGACGCTGACCTTCTGCCAAGGCTCGCATTATTTAGCCGTGGCGTCCGATAACGGATCCATCCAGCTGCTGGCCGTGGAAGCCAACAAGCCTCCCAAATCTCCCAAAGTTCAGCCGTTCCAGAGCCGGTGAGCTCCGGAGCCGGCGGCGCTGAGACACACTCGCGACATGTGATGCTGCTAAAATGATCAACTTATTGTTTTTAACCCCATGAAAGCAGTCTTAAAACTCCTTCAGTCTGAAATGTGCAGTTATATATGAATATGTATTAATATTATTAGGGTCTGAAACCCTCTGAGGGTCAGTTTGACACATTCATTTTGCTCCACTGCAGCAGAAGCTAACGCTAAACGCTAATTTTAACCATGTTGAAACCCACATGTGCCGTGAGACCCGGATCCAACCTTTCACTCCTGGCTTCAGTTTTATTGTGGTGGAGTTTTGGTCTCATATAATAATCAACATCATTGCTGCTCCGCAGGAAGCAGAACTTCAGAATAAGAGCCTGAACATAAATGTCCAGTTACTTTAACATCGATGTCCAACTTAATTCAGCCCAGTAAATGAGCGTTTCAGGGTTTTCTACTGCATTTAGGGGAAGAAAAACCGTTTTCAGTTTAGCAGATGCTAAGTGAAAAGTTAGCTCCGCTGTTAGCTCCTCAGTGGAAGCCACCACCTCTCCCCATCTTTAGCACTCATTATAAGAAAAAAACAAAAATTATTTCTTATGCTTCATTGCAGCTTACTCAGGGGAACGTAGCGCCACCTGCTGCACAAACATCAAATTAATTATATGATTCTTTCGATCTCAAAGTGAGCGTTTACGTCAGGATGAGTGTTTGCTTCCTGCCAAACCCCGGGAGTAAATCGGTGCCGATGTTTTGCTGCTCTAAGGACTTGAGACATCAGATCCGTCTGCTTCCAGGACTCTGGACCTGCAGGAAGACGGCTGTGCTGTGGACGTCCACCACTTCCACTGCGGCGCCCAGTCGGTTCTGGCCTACGCCACGGTGAACGGCGGCCTGGTGGGCTGGGACCTGCGCTCCAACTGCAACGCCTGGACGCTGCGGCGACCTGCGGCTCGGCCTCATCACCTCCTTCAGCGTGGACGTGCACCAGTGCTGGCTCTGCCTGGGTGCGTCCCGGTCCCGGAGCCTCCTGGTTCTGGTCCGTTTCCCCGGTGACCGAGCTGCTTTGTTCGCCCGCAGGTACGAGTAGCGGCACCATGGCATGCTGGGATATGCGGTTCCAGCTCCCCATCTCCAACCATTCCCACCCGGCCCGGGCCCGGGTCCGCCGGCTACTCATGCACCCGCTGTACCAGTCGTCGGTGATCGCAGGTCGGCGCCGCGTCCGAACCGGGTCGGTCCGAAAGAGAACCCGTCTCACCACCTGTCTGTGTCTCTGCAGCCGTCCAGGGGAACAACGAGGTCTCCATCTGGGACATGGAGACCGGGGACAGGAAGTTCACGCTGTGGGCCAGCTCCGCCCCCACCGCTGTCTGAGATGCAGGTCGGTCCGGTCCGGTTCTGGGTCCGGCTCCGGTCCTACAGCGGTTCTGATGTCTTGCTTTGTGTTGCAGCCGTCTCCTCACAGCGTCCACGGGATCTACTGCAGCCCGGCCGACGGGAACCCTTTGCTGGACGGCCGGGTCCGACATGAGGATCAAGGTGAGCAGAACCTCTGGATCCGTAGAGAGATCGGACCGGAACATCGAACGCGGCGGCTCTCACGTTGTTTTGATGGTCCCAGATCGACATGTTGATGTCCAAAAGGGAGATGTTTCTGTTGATGGAGCCTCTTCTGCTCCTCAAAACTGACTGAGGGTTTTAATTAGAACCGGGTCGGAAGTTCTGCAGCTGCTGCTCTTTAAAGGCTGCACAGAGTGATCTAATCAGAACCATATGGACCACCAGAACCGATCCTGGTCCCAGTCTTCACAGCATAAACAACCAGATGTTGCTTTTAACCGGTTGGTTCTGTTCAGGTTCTGGGACCTGGCGTACCCGGAGCGGTCGTACATCGTGGCTGGAGGAGCCCACGACTCGCTGCACTGTCCGTCTGTCCTCTACAGCCGTAAGATCATCGAGGGAACCGAAGTGGTGCAGGTAAGGGACACAAACCAAAACTGAAATCAAATTGGAGATTTGGGCAAATTTCCAATTATTTTTTTTTTCCCTTGAACAGCTGAACCTGATGGTAGTTCCTGGGTGGGCTGACATCACTCTAAATTCTCAAAACTTAAGTCTTAAAAAACATATAATTACATTAAAAGATCCATACTTCCAGAGCTAATTGATATAGAGCGCAGAAAATCTGAGAAAAAAGACAAGAGAAACGTCCCCACTTCCCACAATGACCTCAGTTTGTGGGTGAAAACTGGTGAAGGCCCTGCTTATGCAGTAAAACAAGTATACACACACACACACACAGCGCGGCCATCATGTCTCCTTCCTCCGTCCCCTGCAGGAGATCCACAGCAAAAACAGAGAGCGGCGCCGCCGAGGATTCGCCTCGCCGCGGCCTGGAGTCACTTCCTGTCGGCCATCATGACATCATCACCGACATCGCCACCTTCCAGACGACACAGGGCTTCATCGTCACCTCGTCCAGAGACGGCATAGTCAAAGTGGAAGTGAAGACATGGACCGAATTTTATTTTGAAGGGTTTTCATGAGATCAGACTTCTTCTTCCTCTCCTGCTTCATCCTACTGCTTTATCCCAGAACGTGGAGGTGAGCTGTGGATGGACCGGTTCTGGTTCTGTTCTCACCAACCACATCAGTGAATGAGACGGGTTCCGACTCACCTGAAGGTCCGGTCTCGATGTTGATCTGGGTTCTTTTTAAAGAGACCCCCAGCAGCTCGACCCGGTTCTGGTTCTGCTCTTCATGAGTCGCTTTGTTTGGTCTAACTGATGTGAAACAGGTTTGTTAATCAGACGTGAAGTTCTGGAATAATTCAGAACCATTTAAGAGAAATAAAATCCCACTCCCTTCTTTCCAGGTCATTTATATTTAATAAAAAAGCCAGACTCTTATTGTGAAGAGAATCTGTGAGCTTTACTTTGAAAGTCCAAGTTTAAACTAAATTCTTCACGATAATTAAAGACAACTTGATTATAGAGGCGGCCATGTTGGATTAGCACAGGACGAAGAAGCTGCTAGACAGGAATTGAGCCAGACATCCAACCAGCATCCAACAACCATCCAACCAGTATCCAACACCAGACATCCAACCAACATCCAACCAGCATCCAACCAGTATCCAACACCAGACATCCAACCAACATCCAACAACCATCCAACCAGTATCCAACAACCATCCAACCAGTATCCAACCAGTATCCAACCAGCATCCAACACCAGACATCCAACCAGCATCCAACCAGTATCCAACCAGTATCCAACACCAGACATCCAACCAACATCCAACAACCATCCAACCAGCATCCAACCAGTATCCAACCAGTATCCAACACCAGACATCCAACCAGCATCCAACAACCATCCAACCAGTATCCAACCAGTATCCAACACCAGACATCCAACCAACATCCAACAACCATCCAACCAGCATCCAACCAGTATCCAACCACCATCCAACAACCATCCAACCAGTATCCAACCAGTATCCAACACCAGACATCCAACCAACATCCAACAACCATCCAACCAGCATCCAACCAGTATCCAACACGAGGCTGAGTCAGTGGAGCTTCATATGAACCGGTTCTGGTTCGTTTATTTGGGTTTCTGCAGCCGTTACATCACACGTTCTCATTGGTTCTGGTTCCGGTATGAACAGAGCCTGTCAGGAAGTTTGGACACTCACTGACGGGTTCTAAACTCAAACCCGGTTCCTGAACAGTTCTGCATTTTGCAGTGGTTCAGCTTCTGACCCGTCAGCCAGGTGGATCAGAACCAGAACCAGCTGTTTGAGACCAAGGAGATCTGTTGTTACCAGGCAACAGCAGGGTGGTTCTGGTTCTGAGGAGCTTGGAAGAGAGCGGACCAATACATGAGGAAGAACCGGGCCTGTTCCAGAACCTTTGGGAACATTTTCATATTGAAGATATTTATAGATTATTGGTTTCAGATTTTGACATGAATTTAAGTGTTGTTACATATTTCCACCAGCAGGGGGTGCGTCAGTAAAAGCAGAGCTGCTTGGACAGGCCTGAAGGGGGCGCTGCTGTTTTGCTAAAACACTTTACAGAAACTTTAAACATGACCATCTACGGACCGACCCGCTTTCGTAAAAATAGCACCTGATCCGAGGATGGGAAGAACCGCGTCGGTCCAATGGGAGTTCTACGGAGGCCCTGAAGGGTCACTCAGAGTTTTCTGTTTCCAAGCTGAGGAGCTTTTCCCAACTAAGGTTCCCAAGACAAACTTCACGGTTCCAGGAAAGGTCCATTTGGATCTGGACCTACGGACAGAACCCGGACGGATCCAATCGTCTGCTCACCACCTCTGGATTATCCCCGGATCGGTCTGGACAGGAGTGCTAACGCTGATGTTCTGGTTCTGGTCCGGTTTTCCCTGCAGCTAAAACTGAACGGATGAACAGGAAGAACCAGTTCTGGTTTGGATCGTCATGCTGCTGGAGATAAATCCAGATGTAGTGATCAAAGGTCTTCAAACGTTAGTTGGGAAACCTGGAAGAACGTCCTGAGTGTGACCCTTCAGGGTCCTGCAGTCCATCAGGAAGAAGAAAGCGCCTCCTTCTGGTGACATCAAGTCCTGCGGTTTCCTCTCCAGACACGACCTTCGACCTCCTCATCGGCTGTGCGTCAGACACAGGTTCTCGCACTCCTCTTGCGTCTCGAAGCGGTTAGCGTTGCCGTCGCAGCCGCCGTACCAGAACCGGGCGCACTCGTTCTGAACGGTGTCGAAGAACCACATCATGGCGTAGTCCTGGCAGCCGCCGGGGTCCTGGCGCTGGAGGCAGGCGTCTGCACACAGAGAAGAAGAAAAGCGACTCCAACGCCTGACTGGAGGAATGGAAGATCAACGGTTCTGGGAGGCCACCAGGAACGATCCATCAGAACGTCAGCACATCAGCTAAAGCTGCTGAACCTTTTCCACCTGCAGCTCTGATGGATCCTGGAGGCTGAGGAGCGAGTGATCACCTCTAGAGAAGACCGCGATCTCCGGCTGCAGCCTCTTGTTGGGATCTGAGAGGGAAAAAACGGATCAGAACAGGTCAGATCAAACACCTACAGCAGCCTGAGCTCAGCATCATGCAGACATCAGTGGAAGCAGGAAACCATGTCAACATGTCACGGGTTCTTGTCGGGTTCTTCTGCATCCTAACATTTCACCTGCCATGGTTCTGGGTCGTTTCTCAGCCGGGACGCCGAACTGAGCTCCTACAATAAACTAAACGGTGATCAGATGTTTTTACTCAGTGAACAACTTTTGGCTCATTGAATGTCTTCATTTCTGACATTATTTTATGTAGCATTATGTAGCCCGATTATCTCAGTAGCAGATAATCAGGCCGCTACAATCACTGCTAACAGCTTAGCCCTTTGCAGCTAAGCTAGCAGAGCAACTAGCATACTAGCACCAAGATGCTGATATAGTCATTTTCTCTCAAACGTCTGACTGGTTGATGGAAGAACAAATGTTAAACATTATGGGATCATTTCCACGTTGGAAACCTGGAATTGAAATAAATCAGATTTACTTGTGACCATCTTCATGTAAGAGCTGCCAGGGGAAGCACGCCACCCTGTGGTGTAATTCGGTACAACTATACAATTCAATATGCTGTCAGCCTCTTTGAATTATAGTAATTATAATTAAAACAATACAATGTGATGAATCATAACTCAATTCACCACATGTTGGATTCCTGAAAATATGAATTTAGAGACATAACTCTGAGTCTAAAAAATGTACAAGAAATGTGTAAATAATCAAAATCTCAGGGCCTCTGCACTATCAACAAACAGCAGCCTGGACCCTAACCCTGACCCCTGACCCCAAACCCTCTCCAGCAGTCAGAGGAAGAAGGATGAAAAATATTGATCCAAAGTATTAGAAAGTATTTAGCGTGTTAGCTTAGCTAAGTGAGTCAAGCTGCCAGGGACAAACACAATATTTAGCTTAGAAATTAAAGATTTAGTTTGGAGCTAAATGTTTAGTGAGCAAAGAAGATACATATCTGCAAATGAATATTTTGTTCTTAACAAAATACAAGTAGTTATTGTGCTAGCATCTTAGCTAGGAACCTAAACATTAAATTTGGATAAATAAATATTTAGCAACCAAATATTGCTGTGAATTGTTTCTCTGTAATGAAAGGCTCCCCGGTTAGAGACGGATGAGAGCGGGCCGGTGACGGTCAGGCTGGACTTACTCTGGACGCCACACGTCCGGAAACATTCATGCTCCGAGCTAAAGCGGTTGGCGTTGCCGCCACAGCCGCCGAACCAGAAGGGGGCGCAAGCAGCGACGGTTCTGTCAAAGAACCACCGCTGGACAAAATCGGTACACTGGAACCCGAAATCAACATCCAGCCGACACTGGGCTGCAAGCAGAACACACACATTTACTGACCACACACACACACACACACACACGCACGCACGCAGCTGAACACACGAGAGACCGGCATGCACAAAGTGAATCACAGGGACGACATGAGGACCACATGAGGACAGTCTCCTGTCCAGAGGAGGTCAGTCTGATCTGCAGCAGCGACTGAACCTGAGAGGCTGGTACTGTCCCGGTACCGGAGGTTTGGACTGGACTGTGTCCTACCGTTCAGGTCTGCTCCCAGCTCCACCGTCTGACCGTCTCCTCTGCCCGAAGTCAGGATGACGTCCAGCAGGTCCGTCTGGGTCTGTCCGCCGGTCTGCTCCTGGAAGCCCTGCTGCCCGCCGTCGGCCTCCACCCTGCAGGCAACAAGTGGGGTCAGCACCGGCAACCACAGGGAGCCGGGCCCAGCTTTCTGCAACAGGACGCTCAAACTTTCTGTCCATCTGTCGTGTCTGTGGGGTTTCTGCGAGCCGATTGGTCGACCAGCTCCCTTCAATCAGCTGATCGTCAGTGTGAAATGATTTCTGAACATCAGGCTGAGGAACCAGAACCAACTAAAGACGCTGAGAGGAAACCACTAAATGTTTCTGCAGGTTCTCACTCTGTGAAGCCGGTTTGTCCTCCTTCCGGGTCGGTCAGATCCTCACAGTCGGCAGAAGCGAGAGGAGACCCGATGAGTCCCTCTGCAACACATTGAGGAGAGTCGAGGTTAAGGCCCGGTTACTGCTGCAGCAGCGCCGAGTTTCCAGCCGGGCTCTTACTGTTGAGAGCGGACAGGAAGACCCTGAAGAAGCGCAGGACGTAGCCGCGCTCCTCGGCCTGCAGCCGGCGTACGTGGACCAGGTGCTGCCGGACCGGGAGGCCGGCCAGCTCCTCCACCTGCGTCTGGTCGTAGCGTCCGCCCACCGCCACCACGAACACGGCCACGCCGCCGCAGCGGGCCCTGAGGGCGGCGCGGCGCAGCGCGGCGCCGTCCCGCCGGGCCGTCCGGGCCGCCACCACGGCCAGCAGCGCCCTCTTCCTGCGCGGTCCGCCGGCCCGCGGCGGCAGCGCCTCCTTCAGGGCCGAGTCCAGCGTGCGGTCCAGCGCCGAGGAGCCGCCCTGCTGCCGCGCCGTCAGCAGGTGGGTCTTCATCCCGTCCCGGTTCTGGTAGGTCTGCGGGCCGAACTCCAGCCTGTCGCCCTGCAGCGCCGCCACCCGGGCCTGGGCGCCGGGCCGGCGGGGCTGAGCGCTGACGGCCAGCTGATCCACCGCAGAGGCCAGCAGCTGCTGAGCGCCGGCGTATTGGTCCGCTTGGACCTCCCTGGAGCCGTCCAGAACCAGAGCCAGGTCCAGTTCGGCCTGCAGGGGGGCCGGCGGGTCCAGGATGAAGGAGCAGTTTGAGGAGCGTCTGCAGGGGTCTGCAGGGACGGAGCAGAAACCAGACGGAGAATTCAGATGGAAACTGGAAAACGACCCGGTCCGGTCCGGTCCGGGTCATGATCAGAACTTCACTGCGACCCGATGAATCTCCGGATCAGGAGCTTCACAGGTTTGGAACCAGAGCAGGATGTTGATCCTGTCCTGCCGTTGGGTTCTCTTACCGTAGCAGATCGCGCAGCTGCTGATCCTCCTCAGGGGCGGCCATGTTCTCCTGCCGCGTCAACAGGGTGAAGATGGCGCTGCCGAATCGTCCGCCTGCCGGGAACGGATCAGAACAGAATCTCTTGGTCTGCCGCTGACGTATCGTTACGTCAGAACGGTCCGGTCGGCGCTGCAACGAGTCGCCGAGCCTCACCTCCACGGCGTTCCGAATCCCAGGAGCTCTGGTCAGGGAGACGACGGCCGGGACGATGTTCATGGCGCGGTACTCCATCACCGCCGTCAGAACGTCCTCGTCGTCCTCCGAGCCGCCGGCAGAAAAGAAAACCGCCACCTTCCTCAGCAGCGTTCCGGCCCGCACGCGCTTAAAGACGTTGTGGCCCACGAAGCGCATGGCGGCGCCGAGCCGCGGCTTGTTGGACGTCCTCTCCAGGGCGATGTTCTGCAGCGCCTCCGTCAGCTGGGCTTTCCCGGTAGTCCTGGAAGCGGATCAGGTACTTGGTGTAGCTGCTGAATCCCACCACGGCGACGCGGGCGCCTCGCGGACAGTTGCTCTCCGCCACCTGGACGCCGTCCAGCAGCGCCAGCAGGGCGGAGCGCTGCCTCTCGAAGGCGGCCGGCGTCACGCCGCTGGACATGTCCAGACCAAAGACCAGCTCGGTGGGGAAGGCCGGGCAGCCGGCGTCACCTGGACACCAACGAAGAAGAAAGTAACGGCTCGCTGTGAAGCTTCGGCAAGAAATCATTTCCCTGCTTCAGACTGAAGAACGTTTCTGGTTATTCGGGAGATTTCTTCTGCAGCACCAAGGATCCGACCGCACTGAGCACATCCTCCGAGTCCACAAGTTCTGGATCAAATGTCCAGAACCAGGCGACCGGGTCGCAGCGCCGCCGTCCGGGTCGGTGCCGATACGTACCGAAGGAACACGCTGTGAGGAGAGGAGACACGGGTCAGAGACCGGCTGCAGGTTCTGCAGGTTCTGCAGTTTCTGAACTCACCACAGTTGTCCCGGATGTAGGTGACCAGCTGACACTCCTGGCAGACAGACAGACAGACGTCAGGTGAGCTGCAGATCTGGACAGGTGAGACTTTCTCAGGTAAACTTACAGATAGAGAACGAAACCCTGGCGTTCCTCTGGGATCCCTGCGGGAGAGTCACCACTTCATTCATCCATCCTTCATGTTTTCACTCGTGCATTTGGACCCGGTTCTTCCGGGTCACTCACCCTGTGTCCTGGATGTCCCGGCTCTCCAGGCGTTCCCGGCGCTCCGGTCCGGCCCGCGTTCCCCTGCGGAAGCCAAACACACACACCAGAGTCACACACACCCGGCCGAGGGTTCTGAAGTCCAACCGGGCCAAAACTCACCGCTCGGCCTCGGTTCCCCTTGCGACCCGGCTCTCCCTTGGTCCCCTGCAGCCCGTCCTCGCCCTGCAGGAAGAGACGTTTGTTGACAGGAAGTGGTGGCTGCAGAAATTCTGAGAAAATAAAAGCTTCGACTCGGCGCAAACCGCCATTCATTACCAGATTGGACCGGGCGGTTCTGTTTGGACCCGACTGACAGGATCAGCACAGCAGAAGGATAAACAAGCCAGAACCGACCGGAACCAGATCAGAATGGACCGGAACCTTTCCTGCCATGACCGACTGTCCTGGCAGGAAAGTAAAACTTTTAGGAAAGAATGAAGAAAGTTTTGCAGCAGCTTGAGATGTTCTAAATTACTATCAAAACAAAAAACATTTTTAATGATCAATTCTTGAAACATTTTCTTTGCAAAACTTTTGGATGGAATTTCACTCTGTAGGTGTCAGGATGGTTCTGGTGTCAGGATGGTTCTGGTGTCAGGTTCTGGTGTCAGGTTCTGGTGTCATGGTGGTTTGGTGTCAGGTTCTGGTGTCAGGTTCTGGTGTCAGGTTCTGGTGTCAGGTTCTGGTGTCATGGTGGTTCTGGTGTCAGGATGGTTCTGGTGTCATGGTGGTTCTGGTGTCAGGATGGTTCTGGTGTCATGGTGGTTCTGGTGTCAGGTTCTGGTGTCAGGTTCTGGTGTCAGGTTCTGGTGTCAGGTTCTGGTGTCAGGTTCTGGTGTCAGGTTCTGGTTTCAGGTTCTGGTGTCATGGTGGTTCTGGTCCGTTCAGCCCGGTTCTGCTGCCTGGTTGCTGGTTAGAATCCCAGTGGACGGTTCGTTGGGTCCTCTTGGAGGTTTTACCAGAATTATGGTTCTGCGGGTCAATCGGACCTGGTTTCCATGGAAACGGACTCACCATCAGGCCGGGGTAACCGGGGAAACCAGGATCTCCCTGTACAAACACAAACAGCCAATCAAAACGCAGAAACTCAGAGGACGGCAGAGCGTCCCGAGGCTGGCTTCACCTTGGCACCGGCGGGTCCCGGAGGTCCGATCCCGTCTCTGCCATCCTGACCCTGAAAAAGAGCGCTGACCGGTCAGAACCAGAACCAGAACCAGAACCAGAACCAGAACCAGAACCTGCTGTGTCATACCGAAGCTCCTCTGGGGTCCCTGCGGTCCTGGAACTCCAGGTCCTCCTGGATCTCCTGGTTGGCCCTGAACACAACACCTGGGTTACTTCCGACCCGACCCGGTCCGACCAGCGCCTGGCCGGAACCAGAGAAAGCCAGCGCTCACCTTGGGTCCGACCGCTCCGCGCCGACCCACCGGCCCGGCCTCTCCCATCGGCCCCGCCGCGCCCTGTAGGTAACCACGGCAACAGAGTCAGGCAGGCGGAGCTCTGATTTCGGAGCGTCCCTGAACGCATCATAGAGTCCAAAATGACTGAGCTGTTTTGTTCTGGGATTATTTGGGATTATTTTCATCAACAACAGAATAAATTTGATGAAAGTGAAAATATCAGAAAGCGATGAGAATCAGAATCAATGATGTCAAACTCTGATCAATAAAATCCAATAATCTGAGCAGCCAATCAGTTACTTTTTCTGATCAGATTCCAGAGTTTCACCAGATTAAAATCAAATTCTAGTTTTACATCTGACTTCCATTTTGTTTGTGAACCTAAAGTTGAGAGGAAGTAAAAATCAATAATCCATAAATAAAAACAAAAAACTCTAATAATGTAGCTTAGCTAATAATGTAGCTTAGCTTGTAAAATTAGCCAAACGACACTGAATAAAGTTGTTCAACAAATTACTCAATAATATTAAATGTTAATTTAAGTCGTTGAACATGATGAACAATGTCCACTAGGTGGCAGTAAAGCTCAACCATGGATTAAACCAAGTTAAATCTTCCAGCCGAGTTGCCATCTGGCGTCCCCCTAACCCCCTGACCCTCTGACCCTCTGACCCTCTGACCCCCTGACCCTCTGACCCCCTGACCCTCTGACCCTCTGACCCCCTGACCCTCTGACCCTCTGACCCCCTGACCCTCTGACCCCCTGACCCTCTGACCCCCTGACCCTCTGACCCTCTGACCTCCTGACCCTCTGACCCCTGACCCTCTGACCCCCTGACCCCCTGACCCTCTGACCCCCTGACCCTCTGACCCCCTGACCCTCTGACCCTCTGACCTCCTGACCCTCTGACCCTCTGACCCCCTGACCCTCTGACCCCCTGACCCTCTGACCCTCTGACCCCCTGACCCTCTGACCCCCTGACCCTCTGACCCTCTGACCCTCTGACCCCCTGACCCTCTGACCTCCTGACCTCCTGACCCCCTGACCCTCTGACCTCCTGACCCTCTGACCCCCTGACCCTCTGACCCCCTGACCCTCTGACCCTCTGACCCCCTGACCCTCTGACCCCTGACCCTCTGACCCCCTGACCCCCTGACCCTCTGACCTCCTGACCCTCTGACCCCCTGACCCTCTGACCCTCTGACCCCCTGACCTCCTGACCCCTGACCCTCTGACCCCCTGACCCTGACCCCCTGACCCTCTGACCCCTGACCTCCTGACCCTCTGACCCCCTGACCCTCTGACCTCCTGACCCTCTGACCTCCTGACCCTCTGACCCCTGGTCCTCCAGACAGCGAGAGCCGTGGTTCTGGTTCTGTTCAGGTGGGAGATTCAGGACAGGCTTCGGGTCGGCTGCTGCAGGAACCGCCAGATGCAGAAGCTTCTGCCCCTGTTGGCTGCTGTTCATATGACAGCTTCTTCTACGCCTCCATCAGTGGTAGGCATGGCGACCTGATTGCTAAGATCTGCAGCTGCTTCTTAACACACACGTAAAACAGATGCAGAATAAACCAAAGCTGCAGATCATGTTTACCTCCAGGACTAAAAAATGGGGGTCGGGTATAAACACGCAAACAGACGACCTGCATGTGATCGTTAACACAAACACAGCGGGATCATGGAGGCCAGATGTGAGTCAGTCGGCAAATAGAAACGTAGAAACAGAACGAGACGAGCAGATCCACAGGGTTTCTGCAGGAATCCCTCTCTTCAATTTACTACTTTTTATTACCTCTACAATATTTTTTACTACCAACACAAAATTTAAACAAATTGCGCCTATTTCCTCAATTTTTGGAGATCAGTGATTGGTTGATATCTACGTTCCTTTTACTAGTTTTAGTTACTCAACCTGAACCTGAACCTCAACCTGAACCTCAACCTGAACCTTAACCTGAACCTGAACCTCAACCTGAACCTCAACCTGAACCTCAACCTCAACCTCAACCTGAACCTCAACCTGAACCTCAACCTGAACCTCAACCTGAACCTCAACCTGAACCTCAACCTGAACCTCAACCTCAACCTCAACCTGAACCTTAACCTCAACCTGAACCTGAACCTCAACCTGAACCTCAACCTGAACCTCAACCTGAACCTCAACCTGAACCTCAACCTGAACCTTAACCTGAACCTGAACCTCAACCTGAACTTCAACCTGAACCTCAACCTGAACCTCAACCTGAACCTGAACCTCAACCTGAACTTCAACCTGAACCTCAACCTGAACCTCAACCTGAACCTCAACCTGAACCTCAACCTGAACCTCAACCTGAACCTCAACCTGAACCTCAACCTCAACCTGAACCTGAACCTCAACCTGAACTTCAACCTGAACTTCAACCTGAACCTTAACCTGAACCTTAACCCCACTTCACATTTCTGTTTTGGGGTTAAATAAAAAAACAAACATGTTTTGTTGCTAACTACAACACAGTCAAACTAACCCTACCCACCATAAGCAGTATTTCTGCTGATGCTAGCACACTACACCAATACAATAACTAGCATATACCAATATGGTGTTTAGACCAGGCTAATGCTAACATGCTAAATTCAGCCATGTTTTCATCCATGACAAGATGTGAGGCTCTGAAAATAATTTATTTCTGATGTTTATTTAATAAACACCTCAGGTTGTTTGTTTGTGTAAATGTTGCATTCTTCTTTATGCCTGACTTTTTATTTGGAACAGAAAAGAGAGAATGTGAGGACAGGAAATGGAGCTGCTGTGTAGACAGCCACTTCAAAATAAGAGCATGAATATAAATGTTGAGCTACTTGAAAGATTCTGGTATCGATACTTTTTCCCCTGAGAGTTAAGAAGCAGCAGAATGAATTAGCACGTTAGCTTGTGCTGACCTAGGGGAAGCTAAGTGCGCTGGATGTGTTCAAAGTGAGCTAGCACGCTAAGCTAAAGGTTAGCTGAGCAACGTTAGCCGAGCTCCTTCTAGATGAAGGTGAAAAAATGTTCCAGCTGACCTGAGGTCCGGTCAGGCCCGGCACTCCTGTGGGTCCGGGCGGGCCCTGGACGCCGCGGGGCCCCTGCAGGACACGAAACAGACACAATGCCGTCACTCAACCTGGCACCGTCCAGAACCACCGCGGCCCCAGATCACCATAGTCCAGAACCACGATCCATACAGCAGCAGCAGCTCGGCTCAGGTCTCACCTGGGGCCCGGCAGCACCTGCAGGTCCATTTGGACCTGGGGAACCGGACGGTCCTGTCGAGCCCTGCAGGAACAAAACCGGTTAAAACTGGTTCCATGTGGGAACAGAACCAACAGCACCAGGAAAGTTCTGACCTTCTGACCCGGATTCCCTCGCCTCCCGTCCTGACCCTGACCAGCAGAGAGGAAGAAGGTCACTGTCGTCATCGTCATCACCATCATCATCATCATTATCATCACCATCATCATCATTATCATAATCACCATCATTATCATCATCATTATCATTATCATCACCATAATCATCATTATCGTCATCACCATCATTATCATCATCACCATAATCATCATTATCATCGTCACCATCATTATCATCATCATCACCATAATAATTATCATCACAATCATTATCATCACCATCAAACATTATCATCACCATCAACATTATCATCACCATCATTATCATCACCATCAACATTATCATCACCATTATCAAAATTATCATCATCATCTGAAGCTCTGACGACCAGCATCTGATTAAAGCTGGTTTGATTATTAATAATGAACACTGATCAATACGTCTGATCAATAGATCTGATGTATTGATAGTTTGATGTTTATGATGTGAAACTCTTTGAATATTCTGCATTTACAAGTGAACCTAACCCAGATCTGGTTCTGATCCGATGAATTTGGTTTCTCTGTGGAGCAGAAACTGTTTGGATCAGAACCAGAACCGCCGAGCCGCTCAGCAGAATAAAAGATGGAGGCAAACACGGAACTGACCGGGTTTCCCGTGATTCCGGGCTCTCCTCGTGGTCCGTCCTCTCCTGGAGCGCCCTGTGGGTTCAGAAAGGGTTCAGAGACCGGACACACCAGAACCAGAACCAGAACCAGCTTCCTCTCCAGGTTCCACCTGAAAGCCTCCAGGCTGAACCTGAGCAGTGACCAGAGGACGGAGTCATTATGTTGTCAGTTCCCTCCATCCGTCTGGAACAAACCTGATCCGATTCCAGGTTTGCTCTCGCCTGATTGGCTGATCATCTCTGCTCAGGTGACTCACCTGGAGGAAGCCGCTCCCTAGTGTGTGTTACCGGTAATCCTGGGTATCCGGCCTCTCCTTTGGGTCCTGGAGCCGTGTTGTCACTGCCCGGCTGGCCCTGGAGTGAAAACAGAACCATGAACAGATGTTGCTTTAGGAACCCGAACAAGAAAAAGTGTTTGCTTTAATTCCGCTTCTCGGCATTCCAGGCGTTCCGTATGACGGAGCTGGACTGGTCTTACAGAGAAGGCATTATTAAATCTGGATCGCATATGAACCTGTGTTTGTATGACCTTTGACCTTCCGGATTATGAACATTCAAACTTGTGTGTGTGTTAATATCTGTGAGTGATGTCTGTTTGGCGGCCATTTTTCTGGATACATTATTTCTAATGAAGAAAGAACTAGCTTAAGCATGCTAGCTGTTAGCATATCCACCACAGCCATGAATACCTAGATGCCCCATTCAGTGCCGAGTCCTGCGTCACGTCGCCGCCATCTTGTGTGTGGCTTCACCTTCCACAGGTGAGGATGGAGAGCAGAATTACTTGACTTTGCAGCCAGAAACTGAGAAATATTTCTTCCGCAGCCAAACTGGGTCGAAGTAACCGGTGATTGTTCGTTTAGCTCACGTTTCCATACTGTTCTCATGAGAGCTGATGAGAAACCGCTGCTGCAGGGACGTTGATGAAAAACCAGGCCACTCTAGAGGAAAGTCAGTCGGATCAGAGCCGAGCTGCTGTTCTTCTGCTTCACCATGTCGGAGTTCAGCTGCAGAGATGCTGCAGTCGGAGCCCAACATGACGACAATATGGTTCATCTCAATGGGAAGGAAAAATATATGGATTTTCTGTTAGACTTTTGGATCATTTCTGTCATTCTTGGCTTTAGCCTGAGGACCAGGACGACTCACTGGACTTCTCCCAGTTTGACCAGCAGACTGGACCTGGGGCCAGTGTTCTCAGTAGAATAAACACAGGTTTTATTCTTTCACTTTTTGTGTATTTTTAAGAGAAATATCTCAATCTGAATTATTAATACAGCTTATGTAATAAAATAAAAATAATTTAGTTACATTTCTGTCTATGCTGTCCATATCATAATGTAATAAATAGGATTTTTAAGAAAAAAAAAACATATGTAGCTCATGTTTAACAGTGACTGATTCATCAAAGTTTATTGTCTTTACAGTAAAATATAAAACATTAAAAGGAAATTATTTTTTTCTTCATATCTTGAAACTTTAAAGGCACATTAAATTATGGAATCATGTAAATATGTTCTTTAATGAAACACTTTAAAAGTATGTCTGTTCATCAAAGTTGATGTAAAAATATTTAATAAAAACATTTTGCTCTTTATTCAGAAATCCCCCAAAACAAATCAAAACTTAGAAACTCTGTTTCGTCATTTCTTTGATTACTAAATATCTCAGCGTGTGAGAAAGAAAATGTCAGTGACAGGAACTAACTTCACAGAACGGCACTTTGTGAAGCTCCGCCCATTCACTAGCATCAGCTCACTGGAACATTCAATATGGCCGACCTGCTCCAGGTATTCATGTCTATGAGCTCCACTGCTAACACTCATGCTAACGCTCATGCTAACGCTTATCTGAGGCAGATTTAAGGAAATGGATCCGGGTCCTGGAGCAGAAACCGGATCCAAAGGAACGATCCAGGTGAGTTCATCCTGATGTTTCTGTTTCACATTTGGAGGAATCATCATCCTGGTTCTGCTCTGACATCATCGCCTCCTCTGCCTTCTGATTGGACATTTAGAGCCGAGTTGGGTTTGAGGAAGAGGTCAAAGGTCACCTGTAGCGTGATCGCCACAACCTCTGCTGGACTTACCGGGTCTCCTCTCAGTCCTCGCTGTCCTTCCGGCCCAAGCTCCCCTCTGATTCCAGGGATGCCCTGAGAAGGAAAAGGTCAAAGGTAAGAGTGCCAAGGCTGGGTCAGAACCAGAACTAGAAATGTTTTCCTCCTTTCTGATATCTCAATCTGAATTATTAATACAGCTTATGTAATAAAATAAAAATAATTTAGTTACAAGTGAATAAACTGAAAACATCTGATCCTGGAGGAGCTGAAGAATGAACGAATGAACAAACAGATGAATCAATGAACGAATTAACGGATGGACAGATGAATGAACGAATGAATGAATGAGTTCAGGTACCGGGTTTCCTGGATGTCCCCTCTCTCCTCCAGCTCCGTCTTTTCCCGTTTCTCCCTGGAAACAGAAATCATCCAGTCAGCTTTCGGATCATTTCCAGAGACCGAACAGAACCCGAGGGGATCTGGTATCAGCCGGCGGAACCGACTGGGATCGTTCACGCCTCATAACATTTATTTCATTCATTCATTAATGTCACAATATCTAAATAAATATTTACTTCACAAGATGAATAATAAGCTAACAAGCTAACTATTTAGCTCCAAGCTACATATTTATGTTAAGCTAGCTCACACAGAAATATTATTAGGTTCATACCAAATATTTAGCTAGCAAGCTAGCTATTTAGTGAACATTTAGCTAGCAAGCTAGCTATTTAGTGAACATTTAGCTAGCAAGCTAGCTACTTAGTGAACATTTAGCTAGCAAGCTAGCTATTTAGTGAACATTTAGCTAGCAAGCTAGCTATTTAGTGAACATTTAGCTAGCAAGCTAGCTATTTAGTTAACATTTAGCTAGCAAGCTAGCTATTTAGTGAACATTTAGCTAGCAAGCTAGCTATTTAGTTAACATTTAGCTAGCAAGCTAGCTATTTAGTGAACATTTAGCTAGCAAGCTAGCTATTTAGTTAACATTTAGCTAGCAAGCTAGCTATTTAGTGAACATTTAGCTAGCAAGCTAGCTATTTAGTTAACATTTAGCTAGCAAGCTAGCTATTTAGTGAACATTTAGCTAGCAAGCTAGCTATTTAGTGAACATTTAGCTAGCAAGCTAGCTATTTAGTTAACATTTAGCTAGCTCAGAGCTACTTTTTGACTGCGTAGCTGTAGAAATGCTGGCCTTGGTCGCAGATCTCTACTGCTATTGGACCGGATCTACTCTGAGGATCCACCAGAACCGAGAACCCGACGCGACGATGCTGGTACCTGTTCCCCATTGATCCCGTTCAGCCCGTCCTCTCCGTCTTCCCCCTACAGCCACAGAAAATCACAGTCAGACTTTGGACTGTTGGTCCAAACGTCCCGCCATCCAGCGGCTCAGTGACACTCACCCGGTTCCCACGCAGGCCACGCCGCCCTGCAACACACGCAGCCGTTAGAGCAACACGGGCAGTAAGGAGTCATTCAGACCGGACCGGACCAGAGCCCAGAGACCGGACCAGAGCTGGCTTCTACCTTCTGTCCTCTGAGTCCGGGGCAGCCCTGGACGCCCTGAGGTCCGCTGGGTCCGGGAGCGCCGCGCTCGCCCTGCAGAGACGGAACGGGTCAGATCAGGCAGAACAGAACCCTGAGGCTGCATGAGGCCCGGGGCAGAACCTGACCTACGGGCCCCTCTTGCTGCTAAAACATCAGAACCTCTAACAGATTCTGTTGGATTTAATCTGGGAGATTAAAGTAGATTAACTGGCCAACCTGAAAACTATCAGTTCTAATTACAGTTTATTAATTTGTATTTGTGAACAAACAGATCAAACTGAAAGATTAAACTCACAGCACCAGATTGTTGCTACGGTAGCAAAACAATCTAACTATGAATATTGTTCTTTGAGTTAGAAGTGGAGACACAAGGACAGGAAGTGGAGACACCAGGACAGGAAGTGGAGACACCAGGACAGGAAGTGGAGACACCAGGACAGGAAGTGGAGACACCAGGACAGGAAGTGGAGACACCAGGACAGGAAGTGGAGACAGAACTCTTAAAACAGAAAATGAGAGTAAAACTCACGACGCCGCCCTCATCTCCTGGGAAACCTGGGTAACCGTTCTGTCCCCGGACGCCCTGCAGCACAAACACAGCACTGATTACAGACAGATAATCCACATCACAGGTGTCAGAGACCTCCTGGGCTGCTGGCCGTCCTGCAGATTTTAAATGGTACAAAACACTGGAATGAAACGGTTTCATGCCCTCCTGGTGTGGATCAGTCCTCCAGAGCCTTAATGAGCTCATTATTCTGTCCTCCAGGACTGGAGTTTGACCCCTGACCTACATCATCGCCCTTCAGGACAGAAACACTCGCTCTCATCATGCAGCAGATAAAACCGTTCTAAACCAGAGACCGGAGAATCGGTTCTGCTGGTCCGCCACCTCACTGTCAGACGCTCCGGAAACTGCCTGATTACCCGATGGCTCCTGCCCTCTGCTGGTGGTTTTAGATATTACAGCTATGTCACAACCAGATGGTTGTGATTTTAAAATGTGAAGAGCAGCAGTAGACACCATTAAAAGTTTATTTACTGTGAAATGATTGAAGAAATAACCAAAACCTTTGTTATTTTAATCTTCAGGTTCTTCATCAGATTGGAGCAAAGTTCAACTTTGCAGAGTTTCTCTGATAATTCATGGAGCTTCTTTAGAAATCTCGATTGTGAATGCTAACATTAGCGTTAGCCTATCAGAAACGCAAATACAAAAGTTCCTCTCAGGAATTTTGCATGGAAAAAAAGATTGTTTTCAAATTTTTAAGTGAATTAATCTGAATAAATGTTAATTCAGATTAATGTCCTTCAAAAGACAAAACCAACAATCATAGCTGCTGTTATCTGCAGGGAAGCTGCAGGTTGGAGTCATGAGTCTCGGTCGGTTTCTGTCTCTCTGGAATGCATGAAATCTGTCCCACCTCTCTGCAGGGATCTGCTTAATGCCACAGTCACCTTTGACCCCGAGCGGCCCCGGGATCCTCGAACTCCTTCTGGTCCAGAACATTTGCACATGACGTTGCAGCACTCCCGGTCCGACACCGAGTCCTGCAGAAGGGACAGGAAGCAACAAACGAGCCGTTAAAGTCACAGGACGTGAAAATAAAAGCGCATTTCTTCTCATTTCATTTCATGACTCGAAGGCAGACATCAAAGAACATGAAATGTTGTTGTGACACATAAACCTCTAATGGATGTTTTGATGTTCAGGAAAGTGTGAGGATTCGTTCCAGATGTTTGGTTTTTCCTCTCACACGTTCTGGAACTAAACGAAAACGTCTGGTTTCAGCAGAGCAGTTACTGCATTGCGACCGTCTCCAGGCAGCTGATGGACGCCACTGAACTCTGACCTCTGTGAGGAAACCGTTCCTGAAGCAAACAGACGGTCTGCCCCAAACCGGACCGGACTAAACCGGACCGGACTGCCAGTTAGCAAACCCAGCCCAATCAACACGTATGATATTGGTTACTGTAGCCCAGAGCTTCTCAATGCCAGTCCTCAGCTCCCTGCCTGCATGTTTTAGACGAGCCTCTATTGCAGAACCGCTGATCCAAATGATCACATGACCACCGAGAGCTGCAGCAGGCGGCTGATCAGCTCCAGGTGAAAGGAAACAACTAAAACATGCAGGCAGGAGGCCTGAGAAACTCTGCTTTGATCCAACATGACACCTGACATGAACTCGCTGTGTTATACGGAGCTAGCTATGAGCTCAATCAGACACAAACTTCAGCTCTGTATAATCCAGCAGGTTTATGATTAGTGACTCACTGGATTACAGTAAACTCTGTAAAAATGACTGTATTCAAAAAGGCAGCATCGCCGGGGTGGCGATGCTGGAGTAAATGAGTCTCTGGGGGATTTTCCTAGGAAAGGAAAACAATATTCCAGGTCTGGTCCAGCTGTGAGTAATGCTGATTAATCAGAAACATGTGTGGATGAGAGGCCAGAATAATGCAGATCCCTTCATCCTGTGGATCGGCTGCAGCTGTTGGCTGGAATGACGGGGGAAGTTGATTAGCCTGACATGTTAAACTGCAGCATTTCTCCTTTATCAGCCTGGAGCAGCGGCTCGTTTCCCCAGAACAGATAAAAGCTTGGAGTGAATCACAGAGCAGCCTGTGAACACAACGTCTCCCACATTTCATTGGATCAGAGGAAAGCTAAATGATGCTGTTTGTTCTATGGACGCTAATTTGCTGAAACGGCTTACGATCTGTTTGAGGACGGCGCTCCCGACGCTCGGCATTCCGATGGTCAGAGGAAGTTTGTATCCGAACCCTCGGCCGAACTCCACCATCTGCAGCTGGGCGGCGTTACGCGCGCCCTCCAGGGCCACGACCAGCAGCGCGCTGATCCCTGCCGGCAAAAGTACGCGCAGGTTACCGCTTGTGGTGTGACGTGTGTTACTGTTGCAACGGCAGCGTGGATCCCAGTCAGCAGGTTACCCGACTGCCGCAGCCTCTCAGACTCCTTCTCCAGAGTCATCACGTCTTCATCCAGTCCGTCTGAGAAGATCACCAGCACCTGGTGCAAGACGGAGGTCAGATCAGAATTCCTCATCAGGAACGCCGCCGGTCCGGACGGAACCATGCCGGTCCAGACGGAACCATGCCGGTCCGGACGGAACCATGCCGGTCCAGAAGGAACCATGCCGGTCCAGACGGAACCATGCCGGTCCAGACGGAACCATGCCGGTCCGGACGGAACCATGCCGGGTCCAGACGGAACCATGCCGGTCCGGACGGAACCATGCCGGTCCAGAAGGAACCATGCCGGTCCAGACGGAACCATGCCGGTCCAGAAGGAACCATGCCGGTCCAGACGGAACCATGCCGGTCCGGACGGAACCATGCCGGGTCCAGACGGAACCATGCCGGTCCAGACGGAACCATGCTGGGTCCAGAAGGAACCATGCCGGGTCCAGAAGGAACCATGCCGGTCCAGAAGGAACCATGCCGGTCCAGACGGAACCATGCCGGTCCGGACGGAACCATGCCGGTCCAGAAGGAACCATGCCGGTCCGGACGGAACCATGCCGGTCCAGAAGGAACCATGCCGGGTCCAGACGGAACCATGCCGGGTCCAGACGGAACCATGCCGGGTCCAGAAGGAACCATGCCGGTCCAGAAGGAACCATGCCGGGTCCAGACGGAACCATGCCGGTCCAGAAGGAACCATGCCGGTCCAGAAGGAACCATGCCGGGTCCAGACGGAACCATGCCGGGTCCAGACGGAACCATGCCGGTCCAGACGGAACCATGCCGGGTCCAGAAGGAACCATGCCGGTCCGGACGGAACCATGCCGGTCCAGACGGAACCATGCCGGGTCCGGACGGAACCATGCCGGGTCCAGAAGGAACCATGCCGGTCCGGACGGAACCATGCCGGTCCGGACGGAACCATGCCGGTCCGGACGGAACCATGCCGGGTCCAGACGGAACCATGCCGGTCCAGAAGGAACCATGCCGGTCCAGAAGGAACCATGCCGGGTCCAGACGGAACCATGCCGGGTCCAGAAGGAACCATGCCGGTCCAGACGGAACCATGCCGGGTCCAGAAGGAACCATGCCGGTCCAGAAGGAACCATGCCGGTCCAGAAGGAACCATGCCGGTCCGGACGGAACCATGCCGGTCCAGAAGGAACCATGCCGGTCCAGAAGGAACCATGCCGGTCCGGACGGAACCATGCCGGTCCAGAAGGAACCATGCCGGTCCGGACGGAACCATGCCGGGTCCAGACGGAACCATGCCGGGTCCAGACGGAACCATGCCGGTCCAGAAGGAACCATGCCGGTCCAGAAGGAACCATGCCGGGTCCAGAAGGAACCATGCCGGGTCCAGACGGAACCATGCCGGGTCCAGAAGGAACCATGCCGGTCCAGACGGAACCATGCCGGGTCCAGACGGAACCATGCCGGGTCCAGAAGGAACCATGCCGGGTCCGGACGGAACCATGCCGGTCCAGAAGGAACCATGCCGGTCCGGACGGAACCATGCCGGGTCCAGACGGAACCATGCCGGGTCCAGACGGAACCATGCCGGTCCAGAAGGAACCATGCCGGTCCGGACGGAACCATGCCGGGTCCAGACGGAACCATGCCGGTCCAGAAGGAACCATGCCGGTCCAGAAGGAACCATGCCGGGTCCAGAAGGAACCATGCCGGGTCCAGACGGAACCATGCCGGGTCCAGAAGGAACCATGCCGGTCCAGACGGAACCATGCCGGGTCCAGACGGAACCATGCCGGGTCCAGAAGGAACCATGCCGGGTCCGGACGGAACCATGCCGGTCCAGAAGGAACCATGCCGGTCCGGACGGAACCATGCCGGGTCCAGACGGAACCATGCCGGTCCAGAAGGAACCATGCCGGTCCGGACGGAACCATGCCGGGTCCAGACGGAACCATGCCGGGTCCAGACGGAACCATGCCGGTCCAGAAGGAACCATGCCGGTCCAGACGGAACCATGCCGGGTCCAGAAGGAACCATGCCGGTCCAGACGGAACCATGCCGGGTCCAGACGGAACCATGCCGGGTCCAGAAGGAACCATGCCGGTCCAGACGGAACCATGCTGGGTCCAGAAGGAACCATGCCGGTCCAGACGGAACCATGCCTGGTCCAGAAGGAACCATGCCGGGTCCAGACGGAACCATGCCGGTCCAGAAGGAACCATGCCGGGTCCAGAAGGAACCATGCCGGGTCCAGACGGAACCATGCCGGTCCAGAAGGAACCATGCCTGGTCCAGAAGGAACCATGCCGGTCCGGACGGAACCATGCCGGTCCAGACGGAACCATGCCGGGTCCAGAAGGAACCATGCCGGTCCAGAAGGAACCATGCCGGGTCCAGAAGGAACCATGCCGGTCCAGAAGGAACCATGCCGGTCCGGACGGAACCATGCCGGTCCAGAAGGAACCATGCCGGTCCAGAAGGAACCATGCCGGTCCGGACGGAACCATGCCGGTCCAGAAGGAACCATGCCGGTCCGGACGGAACCATGCCGGGTCCAGACGGAACCATGCCGGGTCCAGACGGAACCATGCCGGTCCAGAAGGAACCATGCCGGTCCGGACGGAACCATGCCGGGTCCAGACGGAACCATGCCGGTCCAGAAGGAACCATGCCGGTCCAGAAGGAACCATGCCGGGTCCAGAAGGAACCATGCCGGGTCCAGACGGAACCATGCCGGGTCCAGAAGGAACCATGCCGGTCCAGACGGAACCATGCCGGGTCCAGACGGAACCATGCCGGGTCCAGAAGGAACCATGCCGGGTCCGGACGGAACCATGCCGGTCCAGAAGGAACCATGCCGGTCCGGACGGAACCATGCCGGGTCCAGACGGAACCATGCCGGGTCCAGACGGAACCATGCCGGTCCAGAAGGAACCATGCCGGTCCGGACGGAACCATGCCGGGTCCAGACGGAACCATGCCGGTCCAGAAGGAACCATGCCGGTCCAGAAGGAACCATGCCGGGTCCAGAAGGAACCATGCCGGGTCCAGACGGAACCATGCCGGGTCCAGAAGGAACCATGCCGGTCCAGACGGAACCATGCCGGGTCCAGACGGAACCATGCCGGGTCCAGAAGGAACCATGCCGGGTCCGGACGGAACCATGCCGGTCCAGAAGGAACCATGCCGGTCCGGACGGAACCATGCCGGGTCCAGACGGAACCATGCCGGTCCAGAAGGAACCATGCCGGTCCGGACGGAACCATGCCGGTCCAGACGGAACCATGCCGGGTCCAGAAGGAACCATGCCGGTCCAGACGGAACCATGCCGGGTCCAGACGGAACCATGCCGGGTCCAGAAGGAACCATGCCGGTCCAGACGGAACCATGCTGGGTCCAGAAGGAACCATGCCGGTCCAGACGGAACCATGCCTGGTCCAGAAGGAACCATGCCGGGTCCAGACGGAACCATGCCGGTCCAGAAGGAACCATGCCGGGTCCAGAAGGAACCATGCCGGGTCCAGACGGAACCATGCCGGTCCAGAAGGAACCATGCCGGGTCCAGACGGAACCATGCCGGTCCAGAAGGAACCATGCCGGGTCCAGAAGGAACCATGCCGGTCCAGAAGGAACCATGCTGGGTCCAGAAGGAACCATGCCGGGTCCAGAAGGAACCATGCCGGGTCCAGAAGGAACCATGCCTGGTCCAGAAGGAACCATGCCGGGTCCAGACGGAACCCATGCCGGTCCAGAAGGAACCATGCCGGGTCCAGAAGGAACCATGCCGGGTCCAGAAGGAACCATGCCGGTCCAGAAGGAACCATGCCGGGTCCAGAAGGAACCATGCCGGTCCAGAAGGAACCATGCCGGGTCCAGACGGAACCATGCCGGTCCAGAAGGAACCATGCGTCCAGACGGAACCATGCCGGGTCCAGAAGGAACCATGCCGGGTCCAGAAGGAACCATGCCGGTCCGGACGGAAACCATGCCGGTCCAGAAGGAACCATGCCGGTCCGGACGGAACCATGCCGGTCCAGAAGGAACCATGCCGGTCCAGACGGAACCATTCTGTTGTAGCTTCAGTTTTAAAGTTGCTACGTTTTACAAACTCTGCTGCTAATTTCTCGTAATTAGCAACAGGATTTGGTCAGAAAGCAGAAGGACATCAGGAGAGTTTAACTGTTTACTGTTGATCTAGAGCTGCATTCTGGGTACAGATAAACATCATTACGCATCATAGATGAGAAGTTTCTATTTGGGATTGTTTGTTTCACTTTAGTGAAACAAACCTTTTTATAGTTTATGGTAAATATAATATTCATCTACAACAAAAACATAAATTCCAGATATTTTTATCTTCAGTTATTTGGCGCTCTATGTAAAATCCATAAATCAAGTTTCCATGTTAAATCTACTCTGAAAGACTTCAACCCTCGAGCAACAATTTAATCTTGAGATGATCATTTAAATGTTTCTGATGCTTTTTTATTTTCTCCAGTATGTTTTGTGTTTAAATAAAGTTACTGAGGAAGAAATAAAGAAAGACTGTGAGCAAAGGAAACAGACCTGTGGCGTAAACACTCATTTCAAAATAAGAGCATGGAAGAAATGGCTAATTACTGTAAGAACTGAAAACTTCAACACAAATGTCAAATTTTTTGACTGAATGTTTCTAGAACAGCCTAGAAAATTTGCGCTTCTTAATTAACTTAGAGGAAGCTAAGTGTTTAAACACGCTAAAGCGCTAAGCTAGCTCTGATTTAGCATGGTTTATGCTGTTAGCGTCTCTGCTGTGAATATTTTGGCGTCTTCACTTCGGCCTCGTTGCAACGCTGCTTCTGAAGCAGAACCGCGTCCGTTTCCTCAAACTCGCCGCCTCTCACTCACCTTCACGCCGGTTCTGGACTCGGCCCTGAACTTCGCCTCGAAGGACCGCAGCAGGGCCGCGTTGAAGAACGTGGGCTCCCTCACACTGGAGGTCATGACCTTTTTCACCACGTCCTCGCTGTAGGCCTCAAACTTGAAGTCGTCCAGGATGCGGCCGTCCCTGGCCACCAGGCGGTAGGCCAGGCTGGGGGTGATGGCGCTGTTGTGCAGCACAGGCGTGGCACTGAGGAAACGTAGCGGGCGATCTCTGGCAGGAAGGCCTGGAGTTTGCTCTGGCTGCTCACCAAAGTCTCGCCGCTTCGCCGAGAGATATCAAAGCCCATGGCGACGTCGATGGAGCAGTCTGCAGGAAGACAAAGCTCCGGTTTGGTTCTGATGGAGAATGAAACACAGCCTCAGACTGAACTTGTAACTCACCAGGTTGGTCTGTTGAAGGTTTGGACTTGCAGATGGTGTTCACTACTTTCTGTTTGATGGCATCCAGGCTGTCAAAGTTCTGCACTGTGAACATCTTCCTGGGGTCCTTGGTGATCTGCAGCAGCTGCAGGTCGTGGACGTCGCCAACGCCGATGGCGAACATCTCAATCCCCAAAGCTCTGAGACGATCGGCCGGCTGCTCCACCTCATCCTGGGAATCTCCGTCCGTGATCAGCACTAGATTCTGTGAGATTCCTGAAGATCTCCGGCTGCCACGAGAAGCTTCAAAATATTCCTTGATGGAGGTCAGAGCCAGTCCAATGTTGGTGCCTCCACCCTGGTTCCTCATGCTGGAGATGTGGGCAGAAACCTCCGTCTCCTGGTAGAACTGGTTGAGGTAAAACTCATGCTGGAAGTTGCTACTGAACTGGGCGAGACCAACGCGAACCAAATCTTCACCGACTTTAAAGCTGTTCACCAGTTCAATGGTGAAGTTCTTCATGATGGAGTAATCGTTGGAGCTGATGCTGCCAGACTGGTCGACCAGGAAAACCAGGTCAGCCTGCTGCTTCTCACAAACTGCAGAAGCAACGACAGGAAACAGCATGAGGTCAGGGTTCAATGACCCCAGCAGCAGGGGGTCATTGAACCCTAACCGCTAACTACAAAGCTAACTGTGTTAAAACGCTAACCATAAACATTAGCCACACTAACACTACAGTGCTATGCTAACGTAGTAGTTAATGGAAGCTTAATCACTATACCGATGCGGTTCTTAGCTGATGCTAACTGTGTTGCTGCCTTTTGTAAATGAAGTTTTGAAAACGGCACCAGAAGAGTAAAAAAGAAAGAAGTTTGGTTTTTGAAGCGTCGTTGTCTGGCTGTCGAGGATAGCACAGAAATGCTAACGCGCTATACAAACATAGCATGTAGAGCAGGGTCTCCAACTTGCGGCTCATGGGCCAATTGTGGCCCTCGGGACGATAGTTTGTGGCCCACGGCTTAATATGAAAGTTTAATAGCGCGGCCCATGAGTTTGATATGGTTGGCATTTTCAGTGCTGTGTGCAGAGCTGAACGAACCTACGGACCACGGTGGAGCTTATTGCTCTTGGGGGCGTGACATCAGCCAGCCATGCGAATATTAGCATATTTGTGTCCATTTTCTATTTGCCATTACTTGCATGTAGCACATGCACGATTTCCGCGGCCGCTCCCGCGCTTCGGCGTCCAGTCTCGACCCAGAAGTTGCTGCCCAGCAGGACAGAAAAAGAAGCTGAAAAGACTGAAACTGAAACTTCAACGCAACAGTGACACCAAGCGCTGTTATACATATTATACAGCCCCAAACATGTATATTTAAAAGCCTGCAGTGAAGAGAAAGTTTGGCGATGAGCACAGACAATTTCAGGAAAAGTGGGAAGTCCAACATTTGTTGAGCACAGGGGCATCCCGACGTGTTATATGCAGAGAACGTTTCAGTGCACAAAGAGTACAATTTGAAATGTCATTACACAACTAGACATGCTGAGGAGTATAAAAAATACCAGGGAGATGAGGGAGCCAACCGGGTTTTTAATCTTAAAACATGTCCACCGAGATAACAAGATTTCTTTAAGAAAGCAAACAAAGAGAACGATGCAGCAGACGAAGCTACGTGGTTCATGAGATGATTGCTGAAGCAGGAAAGCCATTCACAGAAAGTAAATTTGTCAGAAAGTGCATATTAACACCTGCAAGTATCGTCTGTCCACAAAAGAAAAGTCAGTTCAGTAACAAGCAGAGAGCATTTCTGACCACACAGGCCAGCTCACAGGCTAGCTCACAGGCTAGCTCACAGGCTAGCTCACAGGCTAGCTCTCAGGCTAGCTCACAAGCTAGCTCTCAGGCCAACTCTCAGGCTAGCTCTCAGGCTAGCTCTCAGGCCAACTCACAGGCTAACTCACAGGCTAGCTCACAGGCTAGCTCTCAGGCTAGCTCACAAGCTAGCTCTCAGGCCAACTCTCAGGCTAGCTCTCAGGCTAGCTCTCAGGCCAACTCTCAGGCTAGCTCACAGGCTAGCTCATAGGCTAGCTCACAGGCTACCTCATAGGCTAGCTCACAGGCTAGTTCACAGGTGAGCTCACAGGCTAGCTCATAGGCTAGCTCACAGGCTAGCTCACAGGCTAGCTCTGTGGTGCTGATGACAAAGTCACAGAGGAGTTGCTCACAGTACTTCCCATGCATGGCCAGACTATGGCTCAGGAGATATTTGTGTGATGCCATTGGAATGCCGGTTTGCCATAGAAGAGGTTTGTTGGATTAACAACCGATGGAGCACCATCAATGACAAGGAGGACAAATGGACAGGTGTTAAAAAACCTGGAAGAGGGGGGCGCTGGTGAGCAAGATATGGTGTAGGACGTATTGTTCGGAGCTCCTGCAAAATCCGTAATAATTACATTAAAAAACAGCATTAACCACGTTAATATCTGTTGAAAACCTGGAGAGAAAACCTTAGGATCATAAACATTTGGACAACCCGAACATAATATTCCTGAATGGCCGAAAAACTGCAAAAGTATAGACACGGAAGCGATGCTAATGCTACAAGGCCTGCTAGGACCGCGAGGCAGCGGACAACAGGTGAAGGGGACCCACTGACGACTACTGGGACTGAGGGCCCAAACACGTGTAACGAAGAAATGAAAGAGGACATCCTATCATCACTGAGAGGTGAAATAGCTAAAGTGATAAGAGACGAACTTAAAGGCGCATTAGCGGAAGATTTTCAAGCTATAAGATCCGAACTGCAAGCGGTCCGCTCCGAAATAGCTAACAGCTCAAAGACCATACAAGGTGAAGTGGATATTATAAAGACGGACGTTCAGGATTTAAAGGGTGGCCTATCAACATGGTCAGACGAAATCACTTCTCTACAGTCTACTGTAACCAGCTTACAAAAGGAAATGTCGACGCTCAAAGATAAATGTGAAGACCTAGAGGGGAGAACGAGAAGGTCCAATATCCGCATAGCGGGCATTGAAGAACGGCCGGGCTCCAGCTCCCTGAAGCTGTGGCAAAAATCATCAGAGAAGTCCTGCAGTTAGATCGAGACATAAAGGTGGACCGATCACACCGCACACTCACCGGGAGAGGACCCAGAAACCGGGAGACACCGAGAGTCATCATCGCTAAATTACATCATGACGGGGACGCGGTGGAGATCCTGAGGAGAGCCCGAGGTAGAGCTCCGCTTCTTTACAACGGGCGCCGAGTCGCCTTCTTCCCCGACTACACGGCCAGCGTAGCCAAAGCAAGAGCCACTTTCACGGAGGTACGGAGGGCGTTGCAGGGTAACAAGGAGGTCCGCTATGGCCTACTCTACCGGCCCGATTCCGGATTACATATCACAATGAAGAAAAGGAGTTCCTTGATCCCAAAGCGGCCATGGAATACGTCCGGAACAATATTACTCCAACAGAGACAGCCGAATAAAGGTAGCTACCGTGAGCCCAGAGAGACAACTATATTAGAAAATATTCTCATTGCTATGGCTAATTTTCATATAGTTCTCTTTATACGTCTTAATGATACGAGCAGATATGCTGTTTTATTTCAGATTCCTTTTTTTCAGGGTTTGCAGGAGCTTGTGCAGTATACTGGAAGCTTTCAAGGCTATATTGTTTTTTTTTCCTTATGACTTTCCTCATTTGATAGCTTATATACTTATCTAAGCGCACCTACTGCACATATATTCAATCTTGGTTGTGCACTTTAGCGGCTTATCTTAGCTGCTGGGGACTATGTCCCAAGTATTTAAACTGTGTATCTACCTGTTTTATGTTTTTCTAGTTCGGATCCCTCTGTTCCCCGGGGATCCTGCGCAAATTGTTTTTGCAAACTTATTTTCTTCTTGTTATCATCATCTAGCTTCGTTACCTGTTCATACTTATTCTGTGAGAGTTGTCAAAATTTGCTTTATCGCTCTCTGTTTAGTTTTGTGTACAGTGTGTGCATAATCTGTGGTCCCCACACAATTAAGACAGCTTTATGCATCAAGGATTGGCCGACATTGACAATATATTCTGAGATGTCAAAACATAAGTTATAGAGATAATGGGTGAACCACTCAAAATTGTAACTTACAATGTAAAAGGGCTCCATAATCCAGTCAAAAGGAAGAAAATTTTGAATCAATTAAAACAAATTAACTGTCATATTGCTTTTTTGCAAGAAACCCATCTATCTGACTCAGAGCATGAAAAATTAAAAAAATCTTGGGCAGATAAGGCTTTCTACTCATCCCACCAGTCAGGGAAAAAAAAGGGAGTTGTCATACTTATGCACCGGCAGATTAATTTCACACAAACGTTGCTACATCGAGACACAGAGGGAGATACGTATTAATTAATGGTACAATTGATGGCATTGAAGTATCGCTTGTAAATGTGTATGCACCCAACACGGATGAGCCTGACTTCATAAAGTCACTGTTTAAGGTAATATTGCAGCACAGTACTGGGCTGTTGTTGTTGGGCGGGGACTTCAACTGTACTATGTCACAAATATTGGACAGATTACCCACTCCAAAAACCCCACTCTCTAGAATGAGTAGGATGCTAAAATATCAGATAATAGAGACAGTATGGCAGACGTATGGAGAAGCAGATTTCCCAGAACTAAAGACTTTACTTTTTACTCAAGCAGTCATGCATCCTACTCTAGGATCGATTATTTCTTTACCCCAAAGTCAGAACTATATAGAATAATAGATATAGAAATATTACCTATTACTATTTCTGATCATGCACCTGTTTTATTAAAATGGGACATAGGCCAACATCTAAACAATGGAGGCTCAATACATCCCTGCTTAATGATAAAGTATTCATCGCATTTATTAGAGAGGAGCTGAGGATATATCTAGAAACTAATACATCTACAGAAAAACACCTCTGATAATATGGGATTGTGCCAAAGCATTCCTTCGGGGCCGCATCATTTCCTTCACATCTGCGAGGAAAAAACAGAAGGATGCTAAATAAAAGATTTGGAGGACAAAATCAAAAAATTAGAGTTCAAACATAAAAGAAACGCTTCAGCTAAAATCATGAAGGAATTAAATGCAACCCGCAGACAACTAAACAGTCTATTGTCAGATAAAGTAGAGGGTAACTTGAGGTTCACTAATCAAAAATATTATGAATACGGCCAGAAGGCTAGTAGGTTATTGGCATTTAAACAGTCCGCCAACATGGTTCATAAAATAAAAACCCAAGAGTCTGTTGAGACAAGACCTGACAAAATAGCAGAGGCCTTTGCAAAATTTTACAAATCATTATATATGAACACTGATACCTGTAATAATGACCAAGAGCTCACAGATTTTTTAAATAAGATAAAATTGAACCATTTAACGGATGAGGGGGCTTTGGAATTGGATCAACCGATTGAGGAATGGGAGATTAAGCAGATAATTAAATCACTCAAGAACAACAAAAGTCCAGGTCCAGATGGATTTGTCAATGATTTTTATAAAACTTTTATAGATCTCCTGGCTCCCTTGCTATTAAAAGCATATCATCATGCTTTAAAATCCAAAACTATGGCACCGTCTTGGACAGAAGCCACTATAGTAGTAATTCACAAAGAGGGCAAGGATCCTACAGACTGCCAATCATATAGACCTATATCACTGCTGAACACAGACTTACGCATACTCACAGCAATCCTAGCAAGGCGACTTAACAAATTCATCACCCAAATCATACATCCTGATCAGACAGGATTTATTGTAGGCAGGTACTATGCCCATAATATAAGACGCTTGCTAAACCTAACAAGCGTTCAACAAGAAAGAAAGATCAAATCAGCGATCATATCCTTAGATGCCCAAAAGGCGTTTGACAGAGTGTCATGGAAATATCTAATTCATACTCTGAAACGTTTTGGATTTGGTCCACATTTTGTTGACTGGGTGCAAACACTTTACTCCTTCCCTCAGGCAGCAGTTAAAGTTAATGGCTTTAGGTCTGATAGATTTGCACTAGGTCGGGGGTGCAGACAAGGATGCTCGCTCTCACCCCTTCTGTTTGCCATTAGTATTGAACCGTTAGCCCAAATCATTAGAGATGATGCTAATATTAAAGGAATAGAAATCAGCAAGGAAATACACAAAATCTCATTATATGCAGATGATGTATTATTGTACTTGACTGAACCTAAATCAACAATCCCCCACTTAAAAGAGCTCATCTCCCAATTTGGATTTTACTCTGGCTACAAAGTCAATATAGAAAAAACGGAAGCTATGGACATAAATGGCACAATTTCAGACTCCGTAAAAGTACAGAGTGGCTTCAAGTGGCCCAAGAATGGTATCAAATATCTGGGTATTCAAATACCTCCATCTCTATGTGACCTTTATGAGGCAAACTATAGCAAGCTCCTACGTGTGATTAAAAATGATCTGGACCGTTGGAATACTCTCCCTATTTCTCTGATAGGCCGTGTTGTAAGTATCCATATGAATGTCTTACCAAGACTACTCTATTTATTCCAGATGCTACCTGTGGAAATTCCCAAATCTACCTTTGACACCTTGGATAAAATGATAACTGGATTCATTTGGCAAAGGAAGCGTCCCAGAATCAGACTGAAAACTCTGCAGTTATCTAAATCTAAGGGGGGCCTCAAACTCCCAAACTTAAAATATTATTACTGGGCTGCACAACTCAAGCCCTTATTGGATTGGTTACAGAATAGTGCAGATACTCGATGGCTGGGAATAGAGGAAAGCATGTGTTCAGTACCACTGCAAGCATTACCTTTCTTAGATACTCCGGTAAAGGAAATGACAATCTGGACAAAAAAACACCTCAAAATTTGGAACAAAATACAATCGGCTTTTAAGTTATTAAAACAGATTTCACTTTTATCATGTATAGGATCTATGAAGACATTTGCACCAAACAACTTAGATTCTGGTTTCAAAAACTGGTCTAATTACGGACTGTCTCACATTCATCAATTAATTAATGATGGACATTTCAAAACCTTTGAACAGATGAAGAAAGAATTTGGTCTCCCTAAAACGGACTTTTATAGATATTTACAACTTAGAACCTTGACGACACACAACAATTGGACTAAACTTCACAAACCTACTCCTATAGAAAATTTCCTAATGGACATACAAAGGGGAAAGGAAAATAATAAAGTAATTAGTAAAATATATGACCTGTTTATGTCCATGACTGTGCACGATTCCACAAACATAAAGCATAAATGGGAGACTGAACTGCAGGAGTCAATAGCTGGGGACACATGGGAAGAAATATGTACTGAAGCACATTTAACAACAAATTCTAATACATGGAGAGAATTCAAATGGAAAGTAGTAGTCCGGTTTTTCAGAACGCCAGCAATAACCAGTAAAATGGGCCCAACACAGCCCAGTTCATGCTGGAGAAACTGCGTGATGCAGAATGCAAATCACATGCATATCTTCTGGTCTTGTCCTAAACTAAGTGATTTCTGGAAGGACATTTTTGAAGCTCTCAGTGTTATTTTCAGGAGAAATGTTCCAAAAACTCCCTTGGTGGCAGTTCTGGGAGTAATACCCGATGGAATAGACAGGAAGGGTGATAGATATCTTCTAAGTATCTTGCTCACAGCAGCCTTGAAATGTATAACTATCAGGTGGCTGAAACCAGGGCCTCCTACATATAACACATGGATACAAAAAATCTGGGACATTTATCTGATGGAAGGAATCACATATTCCTTAAGGCTTCAAAAAACAGTTTTTGATATAAGGTGGAGCCCGGTCTTACCGTTACTAATTCAATGACGCCCTTACAGGATTGCTTGTTGGCACCTGTATGTACCCATGGGTCAGTTAGAATACCTTACTGTTTAAGAATGTGAGGACCATCCTATGTCAGAGGGGATTTAATTGTGTGTCTTGTATTTTTATTTATTTATTATTTTATTTTGTTGTTCTTGTGTGATGTTTGTACTGGTATGTATTCCTTATTGCCTATGTTAGATCATTTGATGTCTCATCTTTTGTCAAGTTATAATGCAGAAGATATATGTCAGTAAGAGACAGACGAATGCAACTGTGGACATGTGTTGTTAAAAATAGATAAAAATAAAGTTTAAAAAAAAAAAAAAAAACCTGGAAGAGGAGAGTGAGGAGGAGGCCATTGCTCTGCACTGCATTATCCATCAGCAGGCCCTTTGCAGCAAATGCCTGAAGTTTGACAATGTGATGTCTGTCGTTGCATCAACCAAATCAGATCCAGGCGCTTAAAGCACAGAAGCTTTTTAGAGGAAATGGAGTCAGAACATGGGGACGTGCTCTACTGCACCGAGGTACGCTGGCTCAGGGGGAAACATTGAAGACATTCTTTGAGTTGAGAGGAAGTGAAAGCCTTGATGGAGAAAGATGGGGTTGCTGTTTGAGCGCTAAGTGATCCCAAATGGCTCATGGACTTAGCTATTCTTGTTGACATTACACATGAGCTTAATGTACTGAGTAAGAAGTTACAAGGCCAGAGCTTGTCAGTGCTGCCTATGACAACATGAGACCATTCTCCTTTCATGTGCAAGATGTTCCTCCTGTGCTTCAACCGGACCTCATTGACCTGCAGTGAACTCTGAACTCAAAGCCAACTTCAGGGAGGTGAGTGGAAAGCAGACAGTTTTTGAGGGAACTGCCGCCCAGCTTCCCTGAGCTTTCCCGACTGTTCAAGTCGACCATGTGTCTTCTTGTGCAAAAAGCTCTTCTCTACCTTGAACTTCAATACGTCCAAGTTCAGGTCCAGACTTACTGACGAGCGTCTTCAAGCCCTACTTGGAGTCTCAGCATCCTTGTCCGAGCGGCACCAGATGGCCAGGTCGGCTCGTCCATCTGAGGACGGGTTCAGCCCAGCGACACGCAGCCGATTAGATTATTGGTCTGAGCAACAGACGCATCAGAGCTCAGACTGTAACCGCCTACGGGAAGCCCACTGGGTCAGAACCAGACTCCTCAGCCTCCATCATGTTCAAAGGACAGTCAATCCTCTACAAATGATGTCATCAATGCCGATATGAAGATCAGTAATTACTGAAAATATATTTTGAGTTTCTCCATATTGTTAACCCGAATATTTATAGAACTCTTAGATTTGACATGGGGCTTTATATTTTTGTTCAATATCCACAACGTGCTACAACAGAGTACATCACCTCAACAGGTCAAAAATGCAATTACACTCCTAACTGTGCAGTTATGCGTCTTCTTTCATGTATTTTTGTCAGCAGTCCTCCTGGCGTCCAATTGTTTGTGTAGCTACTTGAATTCTTGACCATCGATTCAACAAAGATGCAGAACTTCATTCAACTGAAGCTGAATAAAGTCGACATAATGACCAAGTACATCGGTGCTCTAGAATTTATGGGGTGAAATTAATTTAAGGGAAGCTAAGTGCGCTAAAGTTAGCAAAAGAACTTAATAAAAAGTGAGCTAATGAGCAATTAGCACATTAGCTGGAGCTCAGGTTCTTACTGTCACGTCAGATGAATCGTCAGAGAAAGCAACTGTCTCACCTGGCTTGGTGAAGTTGCAGAGCACCTGGCTGATGTTCTTGTAGAGGGTTTCCAAGGCTTTGAAGTTGTCCACGTAGAAAACCTTGGACTGATCATTACCAGCCATGATCTCCAGCTGGGTCACATTGGCTCCTTCCACCCCGATACTGAACACGTTGACTCCTGCCTTCCTGAGCGCCACCGACGGCGCCAACAGACTGTAGCGGTCAGTAGCGTCTCCGTCTGTGATCACCATGAGGATCTGAGGCACCTTCAGCGCTGCCCGCCCCCATGCTCAGCACCGAAGAACTGCAATGAATATGTCAGGGCCCGCCCAGTGAATGTGTCTCCTAACGGGGGCCTCAGGTCTGTTATGGCTTTAAAAACCTCTTGTCTGGTACCGTACTGACTCAGAGTGAAGACAGATTTGGGTAAGGTGGAGTAGAGGATGACGCCAAAGCGAGTCAGGTCTTTGCCCACCGTGGTCTGGTTCACCATGGAGTGCATGAACTTCTGCATGCTTCTGAACTTGTTCAGGGTGATGCTGGTGGAGCCGTCCACCAGGAAGATGATGTCTGCCTGTTCGGTCTTCTTGCAGTCTGGAAGGGAAACGGGAAAGATGAAGAAAGACAATATTGTCCTATTTGAAAAAGTAATCATCCCCTTTTTCAGTCATGATTCACCTCATTTTATGACTGAGTTTTACACCTCTATTGAGAAAACCTCAGAAAGTTATTGTCACTATCCTTAAAATGTTCTGCGGACTTACGAGACAATAGTGGGGCTCTGGTGTAAGACTAACAGCATCTCAGAACCAGAACATCACATAGCTGCAGTCAGACATGGTGGTGGAAGTATGATGGTCTGGGGTTGCCTCAGGCTATAGTTTGACTTGTCTGGCCACCATCAGTGACCTTATGCTCAGTGAAGGATGTAGAAAGACAATGACCTGCCGGCAGGCTAACCTCTGGTTTCCCCAACAAGACTGAGGTTCTGAACTGGCCGCTAAAGTGGACTTCAACCTCAAGTATACTCGACTTGAGACAGAAGGGACAATACGGCAAATAAATGGACACCTTTCTTAGCCTGGAAACATAATATTTTCTGACCTCTCTCTGGATCACACAGATCTAGGGACAGCTGTCTTTGCAGATCCTTCAGAGCGTCGAAGTCCCTCTCAGCGTACATCCTGTCTGCAGAGCCGCTGATCTCCAGCAGCTGCGTGGTGTTGGCCTTCATCACTCCAATGGCGTAAACCAGAACGCTCTTGGCCCTCAGCGCTTCAGCAGGAGCTTTGACGTTGTCTTGAGCCTCGCCATCAGTGATCACCACCAGCCTCTGCGGCAGGTCAGGCCGTCCTCCCCTGGCTCGATCGAACAGCTGGGACACCGCTGAGATGGCTGCACCGGTCTTCGTTCCTCCGCCCATCTGTGTCATGCCGTCAACGGCCACCATCATGTCCTTTTTGGTGAAGTGCTCAATGAGGGAGAACTCTGGCTTCTGGCTGCTGCTGAACTGCATCACACCAACGTGAACCTCATTCCTGCCAACAAAAGACGTGCTGATGATAGATTTCATGAAGTCCTTCATCTTGTTGTAGTCGTCTGGGTGAATACTTCCAGAGCTGTCGATGAGGAACAGCAGGTCACCCGGTACATCTTTACAAACTGTGGACAAATGGACACAGACATGGGATGAGAAACCTTAAAATGTTCATTATGCCTCTGAAATCTACCAACAAACTTTTACTAAACATTCTCCAAACTTTTTTGAGGATATCTACTTTCCACTGATCCTCCTGAATAAACCAGTAAGCTTACCATCTGTGGAACAGATGTCAGTGATGATATCGTCCTTGATTGGATTGAGAGCATCAAAATTGTTAACGAAGAACATCCTCTTTGGGTTGCCAGAAATCTCTTCCAGTTCTCCCACGACAGCGTCCTTCACCCCAATGGCGTAGGTGATCACGCCTTGCGCCCTCAGAGCCTCTGCAGGAGCCTTGACCTTATCTGCAGACTCTCCATCAGTGATGACCACCAGGTACTCTCGAACTTTGTGACCGCGGCTCACCGTGGCTCTCTCAAAGAGCGGACTCATGAACTCCAGAGCTTTCCCAGTATTTGTGCCGCCTCCCACCTGCCTGATCTCCTCCACCGCTTTCTTCAGCGTCTCCTGATCAGAATAGGTTGTCAGATCAAATTCCAGTTCTGGCAAATCTGCGTATTTTGTGACTCCTATGCGGACATGTTGTGGTCCAATACGGAGAATGTTGATAAACTCCAGGATGAACTTCTTCATGTCTTGAAAATCAGACGGGTAAATACTTCCTGAGTGGTCGATGAGGAAGAAGATATCAGCTTCATCTGTTTGGACGCAGCCTGTGAAGAAAACACAAACAGGACATTTGTTCCCATAGGTTAGTGAAAGCTGGTCAAAGTGCAAACATCTCTGGGTTGTTTTTGCTTGGGGTCTAACAGCAGACCTTCTCTGATGCCGGATCGTCTTGCGCTGACTGACACCGCCTGGCGGATGATGTTGTAGCACAGTGTTTTCTGCAGGTGCTCTTCCAGCGATTTCAGTCTGGCGAAGCTGTCCACCATGAAGACATGTTTCTGTGGAGGATGGGAGGCTATCTGCCTCAACTCGTCCTCATTGGCGTTTTGGACTCCCACGGAATAAATGGTGACTCCGGAACGTCGAAGCTCAGCTGCTGCCTGGCTCATGTCATCCTGAGACTCTCCATCAGTGATCACTATGGCCACCTGCTCCACACCTTTATCCTTCCTGCTCCCTTTCTCTGTGGTGAAGACGTTCTTTCCCGTGAAGTTCAGGGCAGCCCCTGTGCTCGTACCACCTCCACGGTAAGGCAGGATTTTGATGAAGTTCAGTAGTTCGGTTTTCTCCTTGAATGTGTTGAGGTAGACCTGTGCTTTGGGTTGTTCGTTGTACAACACGATCCCCACTCGAACTCTGTTTGGATCGATCTCCAGGCCACTGATGATCGAGTACAGGAAGGACCGCACCAGCTGGAAGTTTTCGACAGTGATGCTTCCCGACTCATCCACGATGAACACGATATCGGCCAGTTTGGCGGCTCTGCAATCTGCAGAAAAATCAAAAATAATGTCAAACACCCAGCTTGGCATGATGTGCTTAAAGTACTCCTTAAGTGCTCAAAAAGCAGATCATTTGTAAATGCGATGATCGGAACAGGCACCAGGCATTGTCTGAAATCTTAAATGGATGAGCTACAGCAGCAGGTAGTCAGGCTATGATTAAAGTTCAGTGGAACCAACCTTGAGTCAGAAATGTCTCGGGTTCCTCGGTCTCAAAGATCCGTCTGAGCAGAGGAACAGTAGTGGTGTTGACCTGGTAGACATGCTGTCCAGTGGCAACCACGCGTAGCTCCTCCATGGACTCTCCGAGGCTCATCCCCACCACAGTGATGGCTTCTGACTGGATTTGACGGGATCCGTAAAACACTTGATCGCTGGAGTCACTCCCACTCATAACAACCAGGAACTGTCTGTAGCCTTGATCTGCTCGGCTTCCCGCCTCCTTGGTGAAAAAGTTAGTGCTGGCGTAGCTCAAGGCGGCGCCCAGGTTTCGTTTTGCAGCAGATGGAAGTCGGAGATATTGGAAGCTCTTCACTGCAGCCTGGATCTGCTCTTTGGTTTGATGCTGGTTGAGGAGAAACTCCACCTTCACTTGTTCACTGTACTGGGCCAAGCCCAGGCGATAGGCAGAAGCTCCAAAGTTAACCTGATTGGCCAGTCGGGCGAGGATCGTTCTGACCTGCTGGAACTGTGTTTGTGTCATACCGCCGTCCACCAGGAAGAAGATGTCTGCAAACTTCTCTGCCAAAGCTGAAAGAAGGAAAAACACTGAATGAGTTCTGGAGTTCAGACATGTTGAGCAGGTAAGGTCCAACTCAACCAAGAATCAACGCTAGACTGGAATCAGAAAGTCTCTAAGCTAATGCTGTTCTTGAGACCAAACATTGACCTCGAGTATCACAGGAAGCAGAACTCAGCACATCCTGCTGCAAAGACCAGGTACAATGTGAAACACGAGACTGCAAGAACAGCAAACAAATCTGATAGTGACTTCTGCTTTAAATGAAAAGCACCGAGGGAAGACCTACTGAGACTTCAGAGGCCCTGTGGCTCTCTGCCTCACCTTGTCTTTGGTCTTCCATGGAGACACAGACGGTTTGCAGCAGACCCCCCGTCAGCCTCTGGAGGGCCTCGTAGCTGTCGATGGTGAACAGGAAGCGCTGTGACGGCTGGTTAGCGATGTTCTCCAGCTCCTCCAGATTGGCCTTTCCCACCCCGATGGCGAAGACGATGACCCCCTGTTCTCGCAGTCGCCGGGCAGGCTCCATCACGTTGTCTGACGAGTCTCCGTCAGTGATGACCACAGCGATCTGAGGCACTCTCTGACTCGCTCGGCTGCCCGCCTCCTCCGTGAAGTACTCTGAAATCAGAAAGTCTATGGCCTTGCCGGTATTCGTGCCTCCGGCCCGATAGGGAAATTTCTGTATTGCAGTCATCAGAGACGGAGCGTCCAGGTGCTCCTTCAACAGGAACTCTTTGTGAGGGTTGGTACTGTACTGAGCCAGGCCGACACGGACTTTGTCTGGGCCAATGTCAAGACCGGAGACAACGTTTTGGAGAAACAACCGAACTTGCTGAAAGCTGGGGATGCCAATGCTGGAAGAGCCATCGACCAGAAAGACGATGTCGGCCATGTTGGCTACGGCACATTCTGCAAAGAAGAAGAAGAAAGTCAAACACTGCAAAACTGGTTCTGATCTGAGTGTTTCTGAGCTCTGAGAGTTTGGAAGAGAAACACCCTACAAACCTCAAGTGTTTCTGTTCTGAAGAGAGATTATTTAATCAGGCGTCTCCGAGAGCTGAGTTGCATTCGATGATCTGCCATCGACTCATCAGTAAAAAGTTACTCAGCAGGGTTCCCGGAGGCAGATCCTTTAGTGTTCCAGCTCCTCTCCGGTTGAACCAGCTCCTAGTTTACTCACCCCGGATACTTTCTGGATTAGGACTAAAACTTTCCTCTGACAGTTAGACTGGATCAGGTTTTTCTGAAACATGTCTGGAGTTTTCTGTACTTACTGATAATGTAACAGTCTACCTACTTTTCTGGCTCAATGATTCTGTTTGTCTGGAAAAAAAAGTCCCGATAGATTGTTGCCTACATTGTATTTTGTTCTCCTGAAGCTTTCTTCCTGATAAAGGGTTTGTTCCTCTCCACTGTCACCCTGTTCCTTCTCAAAGTGAGAGTGGCTAAATCTGTCTGTTTTTAGGGAATATCTTCCCAGAACTTTGATTAGGACCTCAGGACTTGGACGATCAGCTTTTGGCCCCCAGGGACCAAACTGAGCTTATCCTAAAGAAAATGGACCAATCACTGCTTTCCAGATCGGAGCTCTGGATGTGCGACCAGATCGGTCTTTACCTTGAGACATCTGCTGAACTTGTCTCTTGGCCTCCTCCACGGTGGTGCAGAGTGTCTGGACGATGTTCTGGGAAATGCCCTGCAGAGCGGAGAAGTCCGACACGCTGTGGACGTGTTGACTGTACGGCCGGTTTGCTATCTGCTTCAGCTCATCTGCGTCTGCGTCCTTGATGCCGATGGCGTACAAAATGATCCCCTTGTTCCTCAGCCTCTCCGCATGGAGCTCCACCTCGTCCTGTGATTTTCCGTCGGTGATGACCACGGCGATCTGCGGCACGCTCTGCGCCACGCGGCTCCCAGCTGACTCCACAAAGTGCTTGTTCAGTATGAAGTCCAGGCCCCTCCCGGTGTTGGTTCCGCCTCCCGAATACGGTAGGCTCTCGATGTACTCCAGGATCTCCTTCTTGTCCTGGAAGGTGTTGAGCTGGAACTCGGTACGCGGCGTGAAGCTGTACTGGACCAGGCCGACCCGGACATGATCGGGACTGACGTCGAAGCTGTTGACCAGCGAGTAGAGAAACTGACGGATCTGATCGAAGTTCTCGGTGCCGATGCTCCATGAGCCGTCCACCAGGAAGACCAGGTCAGCTACGGCCTCTTGGGTGCAGACTGAGGGAGGGCAGAGGTCAAGGAGAGCGCTGACAGAATCTAACAGAGCTGACCGGACGTTCGGACCGGACCTCTGGCTGCAGGTGAGTAAGCGTAGCGTGATTTTGTGATAGAGGGGGTGAGCTGATCGTGTTGAGTGAAAGCTGGAGGAAAATAAGTAACGTGATTCCTGATTTGGTCCGGTTCTGGAAGGTTTCTGGACGCCAGCAGCGTGGATGGGGTCATAGTCGTCCGCCAATACGAGAGCGCTCCTCTAAAAGCGCTTAAACCTCCATATTCATTGATACGCGGCGTGGAAATCGGCTTAGCGCTTCCTCTAAATCTAACGTCCACAGTCTTCATGATCTACAATCAGCGCTACACCAGCTAACCCCGGTTAGTGTTGGAGTGCAGCGTGAGGGTGGAGCAGAGACATGCAGCTCAGGCTGAGTTAACCTCTCCTGAAGATGTGACGAGTGAAGCATAGGAGCGTCTACATGTGAAGCAGAGCAACATCATTGCACCCACCTGTGGTCTGGGCGGCGTTGCCTTGGAAACACGCCGCCACGATGAGGCACAACAGCAGACTCTGGCCCCCTCCATGATGGATCTGTCTTCAGGTTCTTCTCTTCCTGAAACAAACAGACAAGTTGGAGATGAAGAGGAGCAATCTGCTCAGCATCTGGAAGTGGGAGGTCCAACCACAGCTGGGCGGTGGGGAACCAGAACCAGAACCAGACATTAAAACGTCTTCCATTGTCTCCTCAGAATTAAAAGATGAAGAATATGAAGCAGAAATATTTGCGGCTTTTCCTCAGTAAAGTTTCCCAACACGACATTCCAGGCGTAACGCACAAAGACTCAACAGGGTCACAAGTATTCATACTCCCGCTGTGAGTGCTCCAACCCAGGAAGAACTGTGGGTGGAAACACGTCGACAGGATGCGCTTGTCTTTGTCCCATTCCTGGTTCTTCTTCCTGCTTGGAACCAGTCGGCCCAGCAGGTTCTCTCCTCTTCCCCAGCAGACCTTCTCTGCATCACTGCTGAGATGTCCAGGGCCTCACATTGAGTCCCATCATCCTTCTGCCTCCTTTCCTGGCATGTTCACTTTTGTTTGGACCCAAATGAAGGCAGGATGTAAAATCAGGAGTTTTAATGATGTAAACAATCCAAAAACCTCTAAGGCCTCACAATGGGACCAGGAAATGAAGTGGCACCCAAGAAGGTAAGTAACAGTGGTGGGTGCTAAGTCACTAAAGTGCTAATAGTGTGGCTAATTGTTGTTTAGTGCTGTTATGTTTTTGCTAACTTTGAAAACATTTAGAACCATTAGAATCCCCTAAGTTAATGTATACATTAGAACTGTTCAAAGTTTACTTTTGTAAACTTTGATTCTCCAGAGGGTGATGCGATGTTACACAAGGTGTGTAACATGGTTGAAGTTAGCATACTGGCATTAGCTTCTATCAGGTGGCATTATTAATCCTTTACCCAGAAAAATTGCTTGATACTGTCAAGACAGACAAGTTAACCAGAGATACCTGTATTATGTTGCTTTAGCGCTTTAGCATTAGCTACCCCTGAATAGCATGTTGGCATAACGCTTTAGCATTAGCTACCCCAGAACAGCATGTTGGTATAGCGCTTTAGCATTAGCTACCCCTGAATAGCATGTTGGTATAACGCAATAGCTACCCCTGAATAGCATGTTGGTATAACGCTTTAGCATTAGCTACCCCTGAATAGCATGTTGGTACAACGCTTTAGCATTAGCTACCCTTGAAAAGTATGTTGGTATAACGCTTTAGCATTAGCTACCCCTGAAAAGCATGTTGGTATAACGCTTTAGCATTAGCTACCCCTGAATAGCATGTTGGTATAACGCTTTAGCATTAGCTACCCCTGAATAGCATGTTGGTACAACGCTTTAGCATTAGCTACCCCTGAATAGCATGTTGGTATAACGCTTTAGCATTAGCTACCCCTGAATAGCATGTTGGTATAACTCTTTAGCATTAGCTACCCCTGAATAGCATGTTGGTATAACGCTTTAGCATTAGCTACCCCTGAATAGCATGTTGGTATAACTCTTTAGCATTAGCTACCCATGAAAAGCATGTTGGTATAACGCTTTAGCATTAGCTACCCCTGAATAGCATGTTGGTATAACGCTTTAGCATTAGCTACCCCTGAATAGCATGTTGGTACAACGCTTTAGCATTAGCTACCCCTGAATAGCATGTTGGTATAACGCTTTAGCATTAGCTACCCCTGAATAGCATGTTGGTATAACACTTTAGCATTAGCTACCCTGAATAGCATGTTGGTATAACGCTTTAGCATTAGCTACCCCTGAATAGCATGTTGGTATAAGGTCTTTCACATGGCCAATATTTAAGCGTAGCTAGCATTGCCATTAGCGGTGAGCGGAGCAGAGGAACAGGAAGGAAACTAATCAACACAGATGAAACATTGGGAGAAAAAACACAGATAAAGAGACTTAAACCCAAACACACAAATGGCCACACCATTTAAATAATGAGCATCTGGAACTGAACAGCAAGACCAGAACATGAAGCCCAACGACAATGAAAACATTAACACAACCCAGGATTGTGACAGATGATGGTTAAAAAAACAGAAACTTTAACCTAGTTGTTGCCTCAGTTGTGTCAGTAAATTTTTCTTAGAGCTAAATAAGAAAATCCTGGCATTTTAACATTATATTGTTTATAATTATGAAGAAAGATTTCCACATTGATCCCTTTTCAGTGATTTATCTTTGGTTTGTGGTTGAATAATTATGAATATGATGTGAATGGCACCAGGATCGTGATTTATTTCATGACACTGACATCATTTTTCATGAAATGAGTGGTTAATCTCGTTAGACGCAGATGTTAATTAAAGTCAGACTGAACCATTTTAGAGCTGCGTCTCCTGGTTGCTTCATCCTGTTTCCCAGCAGCTTTTCGTCCTCTCAGGTCAGGCTTCAGAGTGACGCCATGCAGGAACCGCAGATACAACTGTAAATCTGCTGCAGTCGCAGGAATCACCTCACAACCACAGGAAGAGATGTGGGTCACACATCGCCGGAGGTGCCGGTCCGTCCGTCAGCTTAGTTTTCATTTGGGCAAATATTTCTGAGCGACGCCTGCAGAGAAGCTGCGTGTGACATATTTACAGATTCCATTTAGATTCCTGAATCTGTTCCAAACAGACGCTGCAGGTTTTCCAGAGCCTCGAAAATCTTTAAATTAGACCTTCAGCTAAAGCAGGAAGATGAAGGACAGACGGACGGGAAGGAGACGGCAGCGGGCTTTGCCAACTCATTTCAGTTAGTTTCATCATCATGAATCTAGTTTAGGTTCAGTGATCGGATCATTTTTTACTGGGTTTACTGGGTTGAACAACGCCTAGCAACAGTTTCTTTTGGTTATTGACCCGTTTCACCTGCTTTACCACAGCAGACTGACAGGTGAAACAAAAATGGGGGCTCGTCCGGGATTTACCAAGGCTAACTATGGGGTCGACCACCCTAGAAACAGTCAGCTCCTTATTTTCTGTCATCTCCTCTCAGCAAATAAGTGACTCTCTGAAGCTTCAATAGGAGGTCTATGCGAGGAGATCTATGAGGGACTCAGAATCTTGGTGAATTTGAGTCGTGATGATTACCGATGAAGAGGAACCAGCCGTTTTAACAACTCCAGGCCCAACTTGGCTTCCTGCTGGTGAGAGCAGGGAACTCTGTGGCTCCGACCACTTAATGAGCCTTAATGGTTTCTCCATGGTGAGAGTTGAGCCTCGGCATCTGGCTGCATTTACTGCTGAGCGGTTCCACTTCATGCCAAGGGGCTTCACTTCCTGTGATCTGAGGGCTGCAGGTGGCGTCTCGCTACGGCTAGGATGAGCAGAAAATCCTTCCTGAGAATCGACTTCATGGAGAAACTGCTGCTGGTTCACCACCCTGAACATCTCTGCTGCTCCAAGCCCGGCCACTTCACCCACACTGGTCCCACTTCACCCACACTGGTCCCACTTCACCCACACTGGTCCCACTTCATCCACACCGGTCCCACTTCACCACACCGGTCCCACTTCATCCACACTGGTCCCACTTCATCCACACCGGTCCCACTTCATCCACATAGGTCCCACTTCATCCACACCGGTCCCACTTCACCCACACTGGTCCCACTTCACCCACACTGGTCCCACTTCACCCACACCGGTTCCACTTCACCCACACTGGTCCCACTTCATCCACACCGGTCCCACTTCACCCACACCGGTCCCACTTCATCCACACTGGTCCCACTTCATCCACACCGGTCCCACTTCATCCACATAGGTCCCACTTCATCCACACCGGTCCCACTTCACCCACACCGGTCCCACTTCATCCACACTGGTCCCACTTCATCCACACTGGTCCCACTTCATCCACATAGGTCCCACTTCATCCACACCGGTCCCACTTCATCCACACTGGTCCCACTTCATCCACACCGGTCCCACTTCACCCACACCGGTCCCACTTCACCCACACCGGTCCCACTTCATCCACACTGGTCCCACTTCATCCACACCGGTCCCACTTCACCCACACCGGTCCCACTTCATCCACACCGGTCCCACTTCACCCACACCGGTCCCACTTCATCCACACCGGTCCCACTTCATCCACACCGGTCCCACTTCATCCACATAGGTCCCACTTCACCCACACCGGTCCCACTTCACCCACACCGGTCCCACTTCATCCACATAGGTCCCACTTCATCCACACCGGTCCCACTTCACCCACACCGGTCCCACTTCACCCACACCGGTCCCACTTCACCCACACCGGTCCCACTTCACCCACACCGGTCCCACTTCATCCACACTGGTCCCACTTCATCCACACCGGTCCCACTTCACCCACACCGGTCCCACTTCATCCACACTGGTCCCACTTCATCCACACTGGTCCCACTTCATCCACACTGGTCCCACTTCATCCACACCGGTCCCACTTCATCCACATAGGTCCCACTTCACCCACACCAGTCCCACTTCACCCACACCGGTCCCACTTCACCCACACCGGTCCCACTTCATCCACACAGGTCCCACTTCATCCACACCGGTCCCACTTCACCCACACCGGTCCCACTTCATCCACACTGGTCCCACTTCATCCACACCGGTCCCACTTCATCCACATAGGTCCCACTTCACCCACACCGGTCCCACTTCACCCACACCGGTCCCACTTCATCCACACTGGTCCCACTTCATCCACACCGGTCCCACTTCATCCACACTGGTCCCACTTCATCCACACTGGTCCCACTTCATCCACATAGGTCCCACTTCATCCACACCGGTCCCACTTCACCCACACCGGTCCCACTTCATCCACATAGGTCCCACTTCACCCACACCGGTCCCACTTCATCCACACTGGTCCCACTTCATCCACATAGGTCCCACTTCATCCACATAGGTCCCACTTCACCCACACCGGTCCCACTTCACCCACACCGGTCCCACTTCATCCACACTGGTCCCACTTCATCCACATAGGTCCCACTTCACCCACACCGGTCCCACTTCACCCACACTGGTCCCACTTCATCCACACTGGTCCCACTTCATCCACACTGGTCCCACTTCATCCACACTGGTCCCACTTCACCCACACCAGTCCCACTTCACCCACACCGGTCCCACTTCGCCCACAGTTGGCCCAGTTGACCCACAGTGGGCCCAGTCTGTCTGGTTCCAGAATTGGTCCGGTTCTGGCCTGTTCAGTCCCGGGGCCTCTTTCAGGGGTCCATCTGCAGTCACTCAGAGGCCTGTGGGCCGTTGGGGCCCCTGTGGGCCCCTGTGTTGTTTACCCATCAGCTCTGTTTACCAGAACCTCCAGAACCTCTGGCTGCCCGCCATGTTTACAGTTTGGACCCGAGTGTGCGTCGGTGCCGCCGGCCCATTTGATCTCTGCTGGAGTCCCACTTTGAGAATCTGAAGGACGTCAGGCGGTTCTGATGCTGGCTGGGCCCGAACAAGGTGCTTTGGCTCTGGTCCAATCTGAGCCCGGCTTGCAGATGTTCCTAATTACAGCCTCATTATTCCTCCTGGTTCTGTTCAGATCCGATCGGATTGGCAGTGAAATCAGCAGGACCAGGAGACAGGTTGTGGTCGGAAGGAAAGGAAAAGGGGAGGAAAAAGGAAGGAAGGAAGGAAGGAGGGAAGGAAGGAAGGAAGGAAGAAAGGAAGGAAGTATTCATACTCCCGTTTCCACGGAACGTTCATGGAAACTTTTGGAAAGACATGAAAGGAGGCGAGAACATCTGGCGCTCGGCTGTTTCCCGCTCCGCTGATCGCAGCGCTGCAGCGTCTCCTCCAACGAGACCGAGATCAGAGGGTTGACCCGATCGGGTTCTGGAGGAGGTTCTGATCGGGTTCTGAACAAGTTCCAGAGGAGGTTCTGATCGGGTTCCAGAGGAGGTTCTGATCGGGTTCCAGAGGAGGTTCTGATCGGGTTCTGGAGGAGGTTCTGATCGGGTTCTGAACAAGTTCCAGAGGAGGTTCTGATCGGGTTCTGATCAAGAGAGGTTCTGATCGGGTTCTGATCAAGTTCCAGAGGAGGTTCTGATCGGGTTCCAGAGGAGGTTCTGATCGGGTTCCGGAGGAGGTTTGATCGGGTTCTGATCAGGTTCTAGAGGAGGTTCTGATCGGGTTCTGATCAAGTTCCAGAGGAAGTTCTGATCGGGTTCTGATCAAGTTCAGAGGAGGTTCTGATCGGGTTCCAGAGGAGGTTCTGATCGGGTTCCAGAGGAGGTTCTGATCAGGTTCTAGAGGAGGTTCTGATCGGGTTCTGATCAAGTTCCAGAGGAAGTTCTGATCGGGTTCTGATCAAGTTCCAGAGGAGGTTCTGATCGGGTTCCAGAGGAGGTTCTGATCGGGTTCCAGAGGAGGTTCTGATCGGGTTCTGATCAAGTTCCAGAGGAGGTTCTAATCGTGTTCTAGAGGAGTTCTGATCGGGTTCTGATCAAGTTCCAGAGGAAGTTCTGATCGGGTTCTGATCAAGTTCCAGAGGAAGTTCTGATCGGGTTCTGATCAAGTTCCAGAGGAGGTTCTGATCGGGTTCCAGAGGAGGTTCTGATCGGGTTCCGGAGGAGGTTCTGATCAGGTTCTAGAGGAGGTTCTGATCAGGTTCTGATCAAGTTCCAGAGGAAGTTCTGATCGGGTTCTGATCAAGTTCCAGAGGAGGTTCTGATCGGGTTCCGGAGGAGGTTCTGATCAGGTTCTAGAGGAGGTTCTGATCGGGTTCTGTTGGCTCAGAGATGTTTTTGGTTTGATGAAGATGATGGAGTGGACCAATTAAAGTCTGGACTCTAAAAAAAACAGTCTGTCGGTTCTGGTTCTATTGGGTTTTGGATTTTTATCCCACAAAGAAGAAAAATGAGTCAGAAGAATAAAAAATATTCTCTGAAGGAAGCAGAACTGCTGCTGCCACGCCGGCCCGGCCCGGCTCGGCCCGCTTTGACCACAGAACCGGTTCTGATGATGCTGCAGGTCTCGATTGGACCAGAACCAGGGAGAGTTTTGTCACACTGTCTGCCTGACGATCAAACAGAACTGAGCAGAACCGGTCCGGTTCCGCCGGTTCGGCCCAACCGGAACCAGTACGGCAAGATGTTTACAAATTTATGAGCCACAAGTGACGAGCCGCCGAACGTTCCAGTCGAAAATCAACGCCAGGAATTTAGAAAGTTGAATCTGCAAAACGTCAAACTCAGATTGAACAACTGGAGACGAGTTCCACACATTCAGCTTCAGATGCATTCAAGGTCCAACTGGGAATATTTAGCTGCCAGCTTAATATTCAACTAAACTTTGAACTCATTTTGACCCAAATTATTACGATTCACTTTTGACAGATTTTATAAAACATTTTCTCTGACATCGTCCTGCCGAGCCAACGAGCCGCTCCCCGATGAACAGGCCGTTATTAAGTGTTAAACTGCTTGCCCTATGCTGCAGCTCAGGCTCTGCGGTTCCGGTCCACAGCAGCAGCTGCTGTAGCTGCATGGCGGCGGTTCTGTTCAGTCCATATCCAAACCAGCAGCAGCTCCTGATTTCTGACAGCTGGAACATCTGGATCTGTGAGAACTTCCCACAAGTCCATTCAGAACCTGAACCAACCGGGACCCGGAAAAATGTTTAACTGGTCTCACAACCGAGAAACGGCTGTGATGGAGAAGCTGCTGGGTAAAGAGGAAGAGGAGATCTTGAAGCAGCACATGGAGCCAGAGGTGATGTTTGCTTCAACACATCACATCTGAGCGCGCACACACACACACACACACACACACACACACACACACACACACACACACACACACACACAAGGGTTAAACATGGAGGTCAGTTGGTTTCAGATCAGCTAGCGTTAGCATCTGTAGCCCCAGCAGTGATTGACAGCACTAAGCCCCTCCTCCTGGCTCTGATTGGTTGTCTGGTGAATTTCTGTAGTTAGTACTGGCAGAAGCAGAGGACGTTATTTTTTCCCACAGATTATAATGATAATATTAACAAATATGTATAAAACTGATATTTCATTTTTTCTGTGCAGATTTTAACATTTTGCTCAAATTTGATTTTGTAATATTTTGCCTGGAGCCGCCTCAGAGATGCCCTCTGCAGGTTGAATGGTAGTACTGCAGCTGAGTTTTTGTGTTGGTTTTGAAGGTCCGGCTTTAGCATCTGACTGAACTCAGAAGCGCCCCCAGGTGGCGAGCAGGTGGAACGGCTAGCGTGGTTAGCATTGCTCGATAGCGTCAGCCTTGCTACCTCTGCAGGTGGTGGAAATGAAAACGATAGCTGGTGCAGGTTCAGCGCCGGCTCAAAGACCTCCAACTGTCCTGCAAAACCATAACGCAGCAGTGAGCAAACGAGATCCAAACCATCGGATCAGAACCGCGCGGAAAGGTTTAACAGCAGAGATCTCTGGAATATTCCCTTTCAGGTGCAGATCAGGGATTATAATGTTTCTACTTAATGTCCTGAAAGAATGTTTTGTTTTTTTGTGAAATGATCCGGTCCAGCTGCTTCCTCCTTATGAAAGAGGAAAGATGGAAACACAGAAGGAACGACGCAGAGAAAGAAATAAAAAGGGGAAACGTTTATCAGACGCAGATAAACGTGTAAAATCTGTTTCACAGAAACAAGATGGCAGCCAGTAAGGAGGAGTAGAGAAGGGGTGAAGAAAGGCGCGTGTTGCTGCAGGAAGCGGCCGGGCTCGCCGGGCCCGCCGGGCCCAGACTGAAGCTGGAGGGATCAAACCGTCCCGAGGTGCAGATCCAGTTTCTGAATAGTTCTCAGACTGGAATGTGAACAGCTGGACCAGAAGCAGCATGAAGAGCTGGAACCTGACAGCATAAACAGGAAAACACTCATCAGGTCTGGAGGAGCCATAAACATGAGCGTGACCTCTGACCTTTGCAGCCGCATTTAACTGAGGAAAGAGTTCAGACCAGACCAACAGAATCAGATTCAAGGTGTCAAAGAGAAACGTTCCAGGTCCGGACCGGTCCGGCTCTCACATCGGAACCAGGCGCTCCCAGGAAGCCCAGACCAGGAAGAGAGTCGGGGTGGAACCACCAAAACAAAACAACGGATAAATGAAAGATCGGCCCCCCTCAGCCCCCTCTGGGAACGCCTCTGCTCCAACATTTCTCTGATCTAAACTTTCTGATGAATTTGGTTCCCAAACAGTTTCAGGTTTTTTCCTGCAGTGGAAACTCTGGAGCAGAAAGATTTGAAATGATGATGAAGGGAGGAACCTTCATCCTCCAGATCCTAATCTGATTGGTTCCTGGCGCCGCCAACGCCCGGCTAATGACCGCGAGGCTGGAAACGTAAACTCTGACCAAACAAGGTCTGCAGGAGGCGCGCACACACACACACACACACACACACACACACACACACACACACAGTCACACACACACACACACACATACAATGGCAGCAAAAATGTAAACGATGCAGGACTTTGGAGCTCGGAACGTTTCAATGTGACTTATTGAGCTTCTGCCTCAGGGCCATTTGGGGCCCGGGGCTGGACCGGACCGGACCGGACCGGACCGGGCCGGTCCGTCTGGGGCCCGGCTTTTGGGGCCCCGATACCAACATGTCAGTTCCAGATGCTTCATTCTCAGCTGCAGCACCACAGGATTTTCCTGATGTTTCATAAGCCTGGCAGCTGCCAGGCTGAATGTTGCTTGTTTCTTAGGAAAATAATAATAATTAAAAAATTATATATATTATATATATATATATATGTTTTTTTTAAGCTGGATTGCATAGGCACCCAAAAAAATCCAATCAGGAATAAATCAGAGAGAACATTCACCTCGTCCCCCGGGGGGCAAATAGAGCATGGGGGGCAAATGGAGCATGGGGGGCAAATAGAGCATGGGGGCAAATGGAGCATGGGGGGCAAATAGAGCATGGGGGGCAAATGGAGCATGGGGGGCAAATAGAGCATGGGGGGCAAATGGAGCATGGGGGGCAAATAGAGCATGGGGGGCAAACAGAGCATGGGGGGCAAATAGAGCATGGGGGGCAAATAGAGCATGGGGGGCAAATAGAGCATGGGGGGCAAATAGAGCATGGGGGGCAAACAGAGCATGGGGGGCAAATAGAGCATGGGGGGCAAATAGAGCATGGGGGTATTCGAGGGGCAGGTGAGAGGCAGGTGAGGGGCAGAGTTAGAACACATTATAGAGAAATGTGAAACATTAAAGTTTTAAAACCAACATGAAGCAGCAAAATAAAGACCAAACTATCAGAAACTGCAGTTATGAATATTTCTGAACACACAGAGGCATAAGAGTGAGAAATAATAATAATAATAATGTATGAATGTTTTCAGATTCGATGAAATCTGCATCAATCTGCAAGTTAATTGTGTAAAAAGCTCCAACATTTTCAAACATTTCTCAGGTTTACCTACAAAAGTCAAGAGAAAACTTTGATTCTCCTTAAACTGCATGAAAATAAAACCTTTAAATTCTATAAAAGAATAAAAAGCTGCAACAATCTGCACATATTGATGCATATTTGGTTTCAGTGCAGTAAGTTGAGTTGTGCAGCTCTACAGCGAGTCGGGAACAAAGAGCCGCAGCCTTACTTACAGACGAGCCGCTCCGTCTGCGTCCGCTCCTTCTGCGTCCGCTCCCTCCAGAATCCAGACGCTGAGTGCCTCAGCCATGGAGGGAGCGAACCACCGGCCGGAGGCTCCGCCCCCTGCTGGGTCCCCTGCTGGGAGCCGTCGGCTCCCAGCAGGGAGCCGACGTGGAATTTATATTAAAACTACGGAAAATTGCAACAGAACAATATCATAAGGTGGAAAACAGAAATGTTTGTTATTTTTACTGCAACAAGATGTGAATACAATCAAAGTTATCAGATCAAAATACAAATAGTGAAAGAAACAATTCTGAGAAGTTATGTAAGTTTTGAAAAATGTATGTAAAGTCAATGAATTTATAATCTACTGATAAATAATAATAAATAAAATCCCTGAAAAACATTGTAATAGTCACTCTGTGAATTTGACATTCAAATACTGAAAGAAATTATTTGAAGTTTCTGAAAATACAAAACATATTAGTGACTTTATGCTGAACTTTTTCCATAACCTTTCAGCAAAATTAATGTTTGTACATTTAACAGATTATTATTGTAATTCATGCCTGGGATTTTTGTTAATCACTTCATATCTGCCATGTTTTACAGTGCAGAATCTAATAAATGTCTGGAAGAACCAAAACTTTCTCCAGCTGATCAGAAACTGAATTAATTATCTTTAAATGATCAACAGTCAGAAAAAATATTATCCACTGCAACATGTCAACTCTGCTATGTGTGAAAATTTAATTATTTATACACAAAAATATTCACACTGAAATACTTCATATGAAAATAACAAACAGTGTGTTGGAGCCATTTCTCTATTTTCAGTGAAATCTTAGAATGTTGATTATGAATTTATTTTTATTTACTTACTTTCTGGTTAATTTATAATTAGAAGTTCTGTTTGAGTCATTTAGAACTAGTAATTTGTTTAATCGGTTAATTAATGACAGCCAGTCAATCGATTGTCTCATAGCGGAGACAATCAGGGAGCCCAACCTGCAACACAGAACTGCATTTCTGACCTTTGACCCTTTTTGGAGGGGTAAGCAGCAGACCCGCCATGCATCAAGCAGCTGTTTGAGTTTAATTCACTTTTGCCTTTAATTATACTGGGAACACTGGGCACAGGCAGGGTTCGGTCTGCTGGTCAAACTGGGAGCAGTCCACTGACTGGGAGGCGTCCTGGGAAACAGGCTAAAGCCAACGATGAAAGATCAAACACTGGAGAATTGATCCCTGATTCCTTCAGATCAACATTTCCAGCAGGTCGAGGCTTTGGCTTGTAGCATGTTTACAGTTAAAGGGTCATTCAGGGTCATTCAGGGTCAGCAGTGTCAGGGTCATTCAGGGTCATGGTCAGCAGTGTCAGGGTCATTCAGGGTCAATCCAACATGGAGAAGCTGAGCTGGGGAACATCAGACTGGATGAAAACACTCCACTCTGACCCTGGGTCTCTTGCTAGGACTTAACGGTAGAAGCTAACGGTAGAAGCTAAGGGTAGAAGCTAAGGGTAGAAGCTAACGGTAGAAGCTAAGGGTAGAAGCTAACGGTAGAAGCTAACGGTAGAAGCTAAGGGTAGAAGCTAAGGGTAGAAGCTAACGGTAGAAGCTAAGGGTAGGAGCTAACGGTAGAAGCTAAGGGTAGGAGCTAAGGGTAGAAGCTAACGGTAGAAGCTAACGGTAGAAGCTAAGGGTAGAAGCTAACGGTAGAAGCTAACGGTAGAAGCTAAGGGTAGAAGCTAACGGTAGAAGCTAAGGGTAGGAGCTAACGGTAGAAGCTAAGGGTAGGAGCTAAGGGTAGAAGCTAACGGTAGAAGCTAACGGTAGAAGCTAAGGGTAGAAGCTAACGGTAGAAGCTAACGGTAGAAGCTAACGGTAGAAGCTAAGGGTAGAAGCTAACGGTAGAAGCTAAGGGTAGAAGCTAACGGTAGAAGCTAAGGGTAGGAGCTAACCGGTAGCTGCTACCGGTTAGCTCCGCTCGCTCTGCTGCCACGTTCCAAGATGGCGGCGACGTAATTCAGGCCTCGCGTCTGACGAGGTCAAGAGTTCATGTCTGAGTTCGCAGTAGCAACAAAATATATAAGTTCTCTTCTATATAGATTTTGTGAGGAAAAGTCCAGAAAAATCTTATTTAAACTGCAGAAATAACAGAAACTGTTGGAATCCTGCAGTTTTCTGAAGAATCCGCGTGTTTCGCATTTTTCACCGCAGCAGCGCCTGGTTTCCGTTAAGCATAGAAATGATAGAAATAAATCACCGTCATGACTCACGTGTTTTGACTGAAGAGATTTTTCGGCCAAGCGGAAACACTCTTTACGTCACACAAGTCACGTGTTCAACAGAAGCAGAAACAACCGGAAGTAATAAAAGCTTTTTCGTTTTGTTTTTTTAGTCACCTACATAAATGCAAATTTTTGAAAAAAAAACAAACTTTTCTGTTTTTTTGATTGAACTTAAACATTATTTATTAACAATTCGATCCTCAACCAACCAAAGAGCGAAATCAACAAATCGGGCTTGAATCAATTTGGACTTTTGGATATTAATGTAATGTCTCTTATCTTTATGCTTTATCTGATGCTCCCCCTGGTCAAGTATTATTAATGTCTTTTTGTGTTATGTTCACAATACAATTGTATTGTTGTTCATTGGAATAAATAAAGTTAAAAACATATATATTGTTTCTTTTTTTGGACACCAGCAGACAAACATGTAATGTTTTGGTTCTGCTCTGCATTCAGAACCAGAACCAAAGCATTTAGCTTCTATGCACCACACATCTGGAACAAACTCCCAGCAAACTGAAAAAGTGCTGAAACACTGAGTTCCTTTAAATCAGTGGCTCTTAACCTTTTTTCAGGAACCGAACCCCCAGTTTCATCTGCGCATTCACTGAACCCTTTCCTACACTTTAAAAAAGGAACCTCAGGGGTTATTACATTAACAAAAGAATATCATGTACTGTTAACTAAATAATTCCATGTTTGAGCCAAAAACATGACACAATCATGTTGCATCAACAAGATATTCCACAACTTCAACGTTTACAAAATTGAATCATGTTGAGCGAACATGATTCATTATAGTCAGACTGATATTGTGCTGAAGACAACGAGTGAGATCACGGGATATCACGCGAGAACACGCGATACAATCGTTTTTTTCTCTCAACTGGACTAAAATGTATTCAAGGTGAGATAATGTGATTGAATCACGTTATCTCACCTTGAATACATCTAACTAACATACCAGAGGATATATAGATATATATCTAAATATATAGATCTATATATATAGATATATATATATATCTATACAGTTAGGGCCAGAAATATTTGGACAGTGACACAAGTTTTGTTATTTTAGCTGTTGACAAAAATATGTTCAGAAATACAATTTATATAGTATGGGCTGAAAGTGCACACTCCCAGCTGCAATATGAGAGTTTCCACATCCAAATCAGAGAAAGGGTTTAGGAATCATAGCTCTGTAATGCAGAGCCTCCTCTTTTTCAAGGGACCAAAAGTAATTGGACAATGGACTCTAAAGGCTGCAAGTAACTCAAAAGGCCTTTCCCTCGTTAACCTGTAATCAAGTAAGTAGTTAAAAGGTCTGGGGTTGTTTCCAGGTGTGTGGTTTTGCATTTGGAAGCTGTTGCTGTGACCAGACAACATGCGGTCAAAGGAGCTCTCAATTGAGGTGAAGCAGAACATCCTGAGGCTGAAAAAAAGGAAAAAATCCATCAGAGAGATAGCAGACATGCTTGGAGTAGCAAAATCAACAGTCGGGTACATTCTGAGGAAAAAGGAATTGACTGGTGAGCTTGGGAACTCAAAAAGGCCTGGGCGTCCACGGAAGACAACGGTGGTGGATGATCGCCGCATACTTTCTTTGGTGAAGAAGGACCCGTTCACAACATCAACTGAGGTCCAGAACACTCTCAGGGAAGTAGGTGTATCTGTCTCTAAGTCAACAGTGAAGAGAAGACTCCATGAAAGCAAATACAAAGGGTTCACATGTAGATGCAAACCATTCATCAATTCCAAAAATAGACAGGCCAGAGTTAAATTTGCCCAAAAACACCTCAAGAAGCCAGCCCAGTTCTGGAAAAGTATTCTATGGACAGATGAGACAAAGATCAACCTGTACCAGAATGATGGGAAGAAAAAAGTTTGGAGAAGAAAGGGAACGGCACATGATCCAAGGCACACCACATCCTCTGTAAAACATGGTGGAGGCAACGTGACGGCATGGGCATGCATGGCTTTCAATGGCACTGGGTCACTTGTGTTTATTGATGACATAACAGCAGACAAGAGTAGCCGGATGAATTCTGAAGTGTACCGGGATGTACTGTCAGCCCAGATTCAGCCAAATGCTGCAAAGTTGATCGGACGGCGCTTCACAGTACAGATGGATAATGACCCCAAGCATACAGCCAAAGCTACCCAGGAGTTCATGAGAGCAAAAAGGTGGAATATTCTGCAATGGCCAAGTCAATCACCAGATCTTAACCCAATTGAGCATGCATTTCACTTGCTCAAATCCAGACTTCAGACGGAAAGACCCACTAACAAGCAAGACCTGAAGGCTGCGGCTGTAAAGGCCTGGCAAAGCATTAAGAAGGAGGAAACCCAGCGTTTGGTGATGTCCATGGGTTCCAGACTTAAGGCAGTGATTGCCTCCAAAGGATTCGCAACAAAATATTGAGAACAAACTTTTTTGTTTGGGTTATGTTTATATGTCCAATTACTTTTGAGCTCCTAAAATTTGGAGTGTTTGTAAACAAATGTGTACAATTCCTACATTTTCTATGAGATATTTTTGTTCAACCCTTTAAATTAAACGTTACAATCTGCACTTGAATTCTGTTGTAGAGGTTTCATTTCAAATCCAATGCGGTGGGATGCAGAGCCCAACTCACGAAAATTGTGTTACTGTCCAAATATTTCTGGCCCTAACTGTATATATATAGATCTATATCTATATATATAGATCTATATCCTCTGAGCTCGGGTCCTCTACCAGAGGCCTGGGAGCTTGAGGGTCCTGCAGTATCTTGTGCCAAGGACTG